CCAAAAAAACCTCCTGTCAATGCGCGCGGCCCAGAGCCAAAAGGCCCATGCCTCCCCGCGCCCAGATGCCATGCTGCCACATGCCAGCGCGCTCCCCCACGCCCGAGCCACAACCTATCCCTTTGGGCTGCGGCAACGCCCGATCAACTCCGTCCGTCCATCCAGATCGAACGGTGGAGCGCACAGCTCGGGGCATCAAAAACCCCGGCCGGCCGCGCCTCCCTCAACCGTAGCTTCATTCTGTCTTCCCCTTCTCTCTCTTCGCGCCGCGCACCAGAGCCACAGCGGAGCCGGCCATGGCGAGAAGTACGACGCCGCCGCGGGCCCCCTCGCCGGTGTGCGCGCTCCCCTTTGGGTGAGCGCGCCGCCGTCGAGCGGCCTCGCGTTGGTGCCCTGAGCTCATCCGTCGGCCGGATCTCGGCTCTGTCCCGCGCGCCGTTCGGGAGCGACGCCGCGGTCACCTTTCCGCGCGGTGGCGATGCCACCAGCGGTGGGTAAAAGCCTAGGTAGGCTTCCTTTTTGGAGTTAGGGTTTGCTTTTCCGATTTGAAATCAGTTCTTTTTCCTTCTCAGTAAGTCACCGAGCGGGCGCCGGATCCCGGCGAGCTATGCCCCCGGCCGGCCTATCTATTCCCCACGCGCCGGCGTGACTGCAGTGCCATGCAAACGCGAGGTAGGCTACCCTTTTCCCTTTCTTCCCCTTCCTGGATTAGGGTTAGGGTTTGGATAGCTTTTCCCCCGATTTGATTTCTTCTCGGGTAACTTTTCTTTTCTTTTTCCCGAACCCGATCTAGGGTTAGTGTTCGATTTCTTTTCTTCCCTGATCCAGATCTACGACTAGACAGACTAGCTCCGATACCATTGTTAAATCAATTAGGATCTCCAGCAGTAGATATAGGAGGGACACCCTTGGATCCGTAATAGCACATGCATATCTAGACCTAGAACACTACATCGAGAGGGAGATAGGGTAGAGGTGCTGGTGTTGAACCTGAGCCTTCGGATGAAGTCGCGGTTGAGCTGGCCATCACTGGTTCGTTGATGGAGGCAGCACACGGGCAGCGACGGGTGGAGTAGAGGTTGCACGGACGTCGATGCAGTGCAGACGGATGGCGTAGCAGTGACGACGGCGAAGTCAGCGGAGCTTCCCGTCGCTGGCTGCGCGCCCTCTTAGATTGGTCTAGGGTTTGTCGGTGGGGTTTGCGGCTCACGGTGAACCTCGTACCTCGAGCCGCCGGCCCCCCACCTCTTTATATAGCGTAGTGCGACGGGGGCCCACCAACCATGTAGGGTTGGGCGCCCCTGATCAGGGCGCGTGACCAAGGCCCAATAGACCGTTGGGCTTATTGGTTGAGAGATCAATCTAACATAATTATGGTCAGTTCTCATTGTAATCACAAAGGTGACTCCACCTTATAGCTCGGTGTGACCTGAGACCATGCTCATTAGTTAGTTACTGGGCCCACCAATCATGAGCGTAGATTAGTGAGAGCTGTTAGGCTCACGAAGACTCTAGTCAGATTTGACTCTTGACCAAGCCGAGATCAACTCTAACATCTTATACTCATAAAAAAAACACGTTAGCGGAGTAGTGGTAGTAAAATCAAATGATGGTCATTATTCATTATTCTCTGAATGTACTACGAGTTTACCGGCGTGAAGGGAAGAACGTTCGCGCGGCAGCCGGCAGCAGAGCGTAGCCTGCGGGATCGATCGATCCTGCTGAGTAGGTCTGGATAAGGTACCCAGGTCGGCTGGGCTTGTTTTAATTTTTTTTACGAGCTGACCTAGAAGTCTAGCTCGCTGTTTTAACGAGCCAGCTCAAGTTAGCTCGCGAGCTACTCACGAGCGGAGACCTATCAGCCCACGACAATGAATCCAAAAGATGATGATGTTGACCTAGAAATATCAACCTATTCTATTGATATGTAATCTTTATTTTTAGCTGTTTCATATGGATTTTGATTTTATAATTGTCGTGGTAGTTAAATATTGATTTATGGATTATTTTTTAGAGAGAAGATGATGATACTGATATTGAATTTGTGGACTTTCCTAAGTCTATGGTGGCAATTAACTCGTAAGTATGCTGGAACTGTATGGATCATGGATGTACCAACTATGTTGTATGGTTGACACTTTTGATGAACCTGATGTGTATTAATCATGTATGGTTGCATAATAGTGGACGTGACGTTCTACAATTAATGTATTATAAACATTATAAACATGTGTATCGTATTTTTTTTATAACTCACGAGCTAAACGAGCCAGCTCAAACTCGCTAACGAGCCGAGCTGAGCTACGCCTCTAGATCGTAATATTAATGAGCTGAACCGAGCTAGCTCATTAATCTAACGAGCTAGCTCGAACTGGACCGAGCCAAACCGAGTTGCCTCGATATCCAGCCCTACTAGTGAGAGCCCGAGACGTATAGACGGGGGCTGGCATGCAGCAGTCGTTAGTGGTCCGACGCCCAACGGTGCGCAGCATGCACCTATACGAGACGATATATGGCTACGTTCGTTTCTTTTATAATCCGTATTTTTCATTTTGTTTTTTTAGTCGGAATAATATTTTTCTCTCACAACAAATCAGTAGGAACAGTGTTTCGACTCGTTTTTTCAGCGAAGCAACGGGGCCATATACGCTGTTTTCATGGCCCGTCTGCGGTCTGCCTCATGCAAAATGGACCGTCCAGTGCAGATGCCACTTCGGCGGCATGCCAAAATACACAACTTCTACAGGAGTGCGACCATCCTTGGCCATTATTGGACGCAGACACAAACACACTACGTAGGTACGTTTGCACAGCGAAGAGACCAAGCTGCAGATGGAATTCAAACAGAACGGTCTGTTGGTCTCTGTCTCTGCAAACCGGAGAGTTTCTGAACCAGTTTACACCACCACACTCGTGCCTGTAAACGGATTGGATACGGATCCATATAAATGTATATATAGTTAACTTTTATCTTGCATTTTGATTTATAGTATTTCTCTTTATATAAGCATAGATACTATTTTTATGTCGGATAAAGTATAAATTGATATTAACATTATATATATAAATAATGCAATTCTAGGTGGGATGGAGGGAGAACTTGTGTATGGGTATCTTTGGATCAGTTATGGCTAATTACTAATTGGAGCTAAAAAATTAGTCTAAATTAGTTAGAGTTGGTTATCTGATTGAGAACAAACAGTTGAAGGCTTGGCTAAAATTAGCCCACCTAATAGCCCTCTTATTTGGATATGCTAGGGCTAATTCCAACTAATTTTTAAGCTAGTTATAACAGTTAGCCATTAGTATCTAAACATTGTATATAGCTTCAATTCGGACGCTGTCGGTACTTTTTTTTACGTACTAACTCCGTCCATAAAAATTAGTTTAACGTTAATTAATTTTATTATAAATGATATTAATAATACTTATGTCTCTGATTAAGTTTATCACAAAATGTATTTAATTAATTTATGATAATTTAGATTAAACTTCAAATTACTCTTCCTCTTGTGAACCGAGGGAGCTAGTACCTAATAAAGCGCACATGTGCAACCTGAACCTCCTTCAGTCCTTCGCGGGGCTTTGAACAAACCTGCGTGAATGCGTGATCGTGATCGATCGCATAGCCAACCCGGCAACCCCCTGCCCGCCCGGTGTCCGAGGAGAGCCCCAACCGGGCAGACCTCCCTGCGGCAGGCTGGCCCAGGCTAGCAGACGGGGAGAAAGACATCGAGCACGGCGGCAGGTCCGGGGGAGGGCCGGAGCCCGGAAGGGCGCAAGCGGAGCGGCAGCATGGGCAATGGCAGGTCGGTCGGCGACGCAAAGCGGGCGGAGGCCGACTGGCCGATCGAGACCCCACGCGGACGGCCGCCCCGCCCCTGCCGCTGCCCTCGGTGCCGACAAATCCGCTACGCTCGCCGGCCGCTCCCGCGCGCGCCACCCATGCATGTCACCGGACACCCGCAATAATTCACGTCTTGCACGGATCCACCCCCTCCCAAATCCAAAATCCTTCCCTCCTTGCCCCAGCTACCTGCACTGCCCTACCCACCAGGCCACCACCACCCCCACCCGTTCGAGAAGAGACAACTCCTCCCTCCCCTAGTCCCCTCCTCGCACTTTCGCACTCTCTTAAGGATCCCAGGCCTCGCCTATGGCCTATCCTCCTCCTCCTTCCTTCTCCACTACACAGACACAGTGCGCTCTACAGTGCTGCAGCTGCTAATCCTGCCCTTCCTTTTCCATTTATTGGAGCCCTCGCTGCTCGTAGTCGTAGCTCCAGCTGCTGCTGCCGCCGCCACAGGGAGAGCTAGCGAGGAGGTATAGCTAGCTGTAGCTGCTGCTGCGTGGACGGAGGACGGAGGACGGAGGGGGGTTGCTGTTGCAGGCTCGCAAGTCGCAGCTGCCGCCTCACGCCTCAGGGAGGGGGCTCATTACTCCCTTGTTGCGTGCTGCAGTTATTGCTACCGCGCGCTACTGTATAGAGAGACGCCTTGCCAACAAAAGATCTCATGGAGAGGATGCAGCTGCAAGGGCCCATCGCCTCTTCGCTGGTAAGTTCACCTACACACCCAGGGAGCTGAGGGGGCAGGCAATGGAGTTATGGAGCAAGCAGCTTCCATTTCCAGCGGCAGCTTCTCTCTGGAGGAAGCTCGTCGTAAATGCATTGGAGTATTAATTCTCCTGCTCCTGCACCCTGCCTCCTCTCTCCTGCCTGCCGCTTCCTTTCCCTTCCCTGCCCTCTTCTTTTGTTCCTCCTTTTCTCCTTCCCTAATGTCGTCGCAGTGGCAGCAGCTCTGCCGGCACCCACGCACGCACGCACAATTCAATGCGCGCCACTGCGCTCGCTACTCTTCCTAGGAGATCGACTCGACTACTAGGAGTCTCTTTAATGGCCTTGCTATTGTACTTGCTGCCCCCGTTTCTCGATCGGCTTGCTGATGATGTGCCGTTCTTGCTCCCCTTCCGGCGATGGCGTGGCGACAACGGTGGCCGTAATGGAACAGTGGGCGGACAAGCAGCAGCAGCAGCAGCAGGCGGTCAGCACCAGCACCGCGGCCGCTGCGGCGCAGATGCCCTTTCTGGCGCTGCTCCAGGGCGCGGGCGTCGTGGTGGAGGCGGAGGACCAGCAGCAGCAGCAGCATGACGGGCGCAAGCGGCACGCCTTCGTGCGAGCCGTCTCCGACCTCGACCTGCTCGAGAGCTGCGTCACGCAGGTGGTGGCTCCCGCGGCGGCGGCGTCTTCGCCCGTGGCCAGCAGGACCGAGAGGCGGAGGAAGCGGCCGAGGCCCCGCGCGCGCGCCGCGCCGCCGCCGGAGAAGCGCAGGAAGCCCGAGGAGGCCGAGAGCCAGCGGATGACCCACATCGCCGTGGAGCGCAACCGGCGGCGCCTCATGAACGACCACCTCGCCTCGCTCCGCTCCCTCATCCCCTCCAGCTACATCCCCCGCGTAAGCCAAAGCCATGCAACGCCCATGCAGACGAGACAATGCTGCGTTCCCTAAGCTTCCAATCCGTCTCTGACGATGCAACAACAATGATTTGCATGCAGGGCGACCAGGCGACAGTGGTGGGTGGCGCGATCGACTACGTGAAGCAACTAGAGCAGCAGCTGGTGGCGCTGCAGGCGGCCGCGCCCGCGCGTCGCGGTGGTACCGGCGCCGCGGCCGCGGTGGCCACGGCCGCGTCGCCGCGTCGGACGGCGTGTTCGTGTCCCCGCAGTACGCGAGCTACTCGGACTCGTCGCGCGGCGGCCTCGGCGCCGGCGTGGACGTGGAGGCGACGGCCGCGGTGGGCGGGCACGTGCGCGTGCGCGTCGCGGGGAGGCGGTGGCCCGGGCGGCTCGTGCGCGCCGTCGCCGCGCTCGAGGACCTCCGCCTCGCGGTCTTGCACCTCGCCGTCACCGCCGTCGGACATGACGCCGTCGTGTACTGCTTCAACCTTAAGGTCAGCGAGAAGTGTCACGTCGATTTCACTTCTTGTCATGCTCATGCATGTCCCGTCTCCTCCCACGCACTTCCATTGCTTGCGTTACGTACTCTCGTCCCTCGTTTTCCCCCAATCATGCGTTTGACTGGTGCAAAGTGCAAGAGTGTACCCTTTTTCTCTTTCCCGTTTTGTGTTAAACTGCACTTGATTTGAAATCCACCTGTGTAAAGTGCAAGAAAGTACTCTATATTTGAGAAAGGAAAACGTGACTTTAAAAACTGCACTTGATTTAAAATCCACATGTGGAAAGTGCAAGAGAGCACCCTATATTTGACAAAGAAAAAACATGACTTAAATTTGGGAGGAGTTTTTTTTAATTATAAATTTTGTACGAGTAATTCTTTTGCATTTCGTTTAAAAAAACAATATGTAGACGACAATGCTGCAGTAGGGGACTAGGAGTACATTTTCCCCCTTAGTTTCCTATAGTTTTTAGAAGCACGAAGCATCATAAATAACAACCTCTAGTGCTCTTTTTTACCCAACCACTTAGAGATGCTCTTAGAACATGATATTAACAAAGAAATTCAGACTTAAATATGGGACAAAACTAGCATTATCTAATAATACTGTTAATGTAATAGTATTACTAGTATATATGATGTCTAGTATCATACTAGTAATGCTACATTGGCAGCATTATCCTATTGTTTTTTTACTATAAATTCGATAGGAGTCAGAGTCGGAGCAGAGCCAATACAACTCCAACTCGAGCCAATACAACTCCAACTCCTTCGCATTAAGAAGACAATGTGTTGACGGCATTGCTGCAGTCTATTTTCTTTGTTTCCAATAGTTCGTAGAAGCATCTTAAATAACAACCTCTAGTGCTCTTTTTAACCCAAACACTTGGAGACGCTCTTAGAACATGACGTTAACAAATAAATTTAGACTTAAAATAAATTTGGGACCAAACTAGCACCATCTAATAATATACTGCCAATGTTGTATTTCTAGCATGATACTGGATATCTTTGTGAGATATCGCTACACGCTGACATGCACATGCACTCGCGATGCAGCAGCCATGATGGTTGCAGAAAGCGAACGGATTGTTTTTCCTCGTGGAGCGTTGCTGTCGCGTGGGATCTCTCGAACCAGACCGCTGTGCAGACATGCAGTGCATGGGTCTCGACGCCTTGTATATGTTTCTGTTAGGCAGGGCTTGGAGTATGTAGATGTAGTGTTCGAATACGATGAGCCCCTGGTGGCCTGGTAGGCTTGCTAGTACTGGTGGCCTTGCATTTGGTAATTGGTACAGGCAGGCGTGAGACCACACCGTCCACCGTTTACAGACAGATTAGCCCTTACAAATTAAGCCCTTGTTTAGTTGTAGAAATTTGGATTTTGGGGGCTACTGTAGCACATTCGTTTTTATTTGGTAAATAGTATTCAAACATGGACTAATTAGGCACCGTCCACCGTTTTCCCACCAAACAGCAATTAGTTTTTTTTTCATCAAATTAAACCTCAGCTTTCCGATGTGGCTGTTTAAACCTCAGCTTTCCCTGGCTGTCTGTTTCCCTCTTGTCCTTGGAATCTGCGACGCAAAACACAACACAGCTCGCTACCTCTGCATGCGTCTGTGGCGATGGCGCGCTCGTCCCTAACCTTATACTTATACAGTAGTAGTACTGCTGGCTATAAAGCTAATGGTGCACCTGTCTGTGTACGTGCAGATGGAGGAAGGGTGCGAGGTGGCGACGGCGGACGAGGTGGCGACGGTGGTGCACCAGATCTTTGCCTACGCCGCCGGCGCATGCTGCTGACGACGGCGGCAGCCGCGGAGGGACGGGGACGGTAAGTCAAAACCACGTACGGAGGCGGGGCAGGCATCAGGCATGAGTCATGTACACGACGAACGCGGGCGCAGAGGAGGGGACGACGGCCGGGCCACCCAGAGGAGAGGAGGACATGCGTACGTAGAGGTAGAGCAGGGGCAGCGCTAGGGGACGGACCAAGCAAGCTTGGCAGGTGCGGCCATGGCAACGGCTGCGCTGCATGCAGTGGTCCATGCGTGCAGCGCAGAGACGAGCAGGAGACCTCTCTACTGTTGTTTTTACTTGGTGAAGAGTGAAGACTGTAGCTAGTAGACCAAAGGCTGAAGAGAGTGGTACAACAGTGTTGGGGGTGGCAGGGCTAGCTGTAGACCTGTAGTTTTTTATCCCTTGTCTTTGGAGAGCCATGCATCCGTGTGTGTGTGTGTACGGTTTTATATAGACCACGCACGGTATCGATCGTGTGTGTACGTAGTTCAGCACTGGTGCTGGGTTCCGTGTTTGCAGTTGCGCGGTGCCGTGCAACCTTCTGGCCTGAGCTGGCTCTGGCTGCAGCGTCGGCCTCTGATCTCCACTGCAAGCCCCATCTCTGCGTGACGACTGCGGCGTCGTGCATGTCCTCTGCTGTCGTCGTTGCCGCGCCGTACTCGAGTCGTCTGCATGCTTCTCTCTGGGAGGGGGAGGGCGGAGGACGGACAGGCTTTGCCTCATCGGGTGCTGTCGCCATGTACAGATGCCCTCTCCTGTGCGTGCCAGGCTGAGCGGTGCACGACAGTAGTGTATGCGACTGCGACTCTGCGAGCAATGCAAGCAAGGGGCCCCGGCTCGATCGGCCATGGCGGCCGGTCAATGCGCCCATGACATCATTGCCAGCCACTGGTGCGGAAAGCTTTTGCCCCGATCCGCCGGTCCATCCTTCCTTGCCCCGCGCCGCTGCGCGCGGCGCCGAAACGAAACCGAGCGTGGACGGACGTGCCGTGCCCCGCTCCGCTCCGCGCGTTCCGCGTCGCGAAATCATTCTCGGCGTGCTGCCCCGCACCGCAGCCCGCAGGCAGGCAGCGGAGCCAAAAGAAAAGCTGCCGTGCCGCGGCCGCCGGCCCATTCGTGTGCGGTGCAGCCGTAGCGTCGTAGCCTGTAGCATAGCTGTATGTAATGTAGCCTGCCGCGCGCGGCGGGGGAACTGTGTACACCGTGCTCAGGCGGGTCACTGTGTTGGTGCGGTTTGTTTCCCTTTCCGGCTTTCCCCCACCGGGGCGCTCCGGGCCTTTCGCAGCATCGCTGTCGCTCTGTCGGTCTCGGCACGGCGAGGATCGGATCGGAGCAGTACCGTCGGCCGCCGGTGGCGTCGGCTCGGCGACGGCGAGGCAAGTCAAAGCAGAACGGAGGAGGGCATACCGTTCGTTTATTAATGCCGCCGCGGGTACGCGAACGCACGCATGAGCAGGACTGCATGACACGAGGGCCAGGCCGATCGCCGATCGCCGCCTGCCTGTGTGATTCGGCGTACGTGCGTGAAGTCACCCATGTCCATGTGTGCAGCAGCGCCAGCGCCTGCTTCCTCATGTGCCCGCCATTAATGACCTGGCGCCGTGCTTCAGAGTCCACCACTTGAGGCCTTTTCATCTCCTCTTCCTCGGCCCTGTTTTTCGAGCTAGCCGAACAGAGCCGAGGGCGTGCCGTGACAAGGACTTGTTACTAGTACTTGCAAGGAACGTGGCAAGCCAAGCCGGCCGTGCCGTGCGCCCGTGCTGCGGTGCTGGGCTCTAGAGGTTGGACTTGGACCATGCCAGTCCGGCACAGCACGGTCCTCATGTGTTTCACGTCGTACTTCTAACTTCTAGCCATGTGAGACATGTCGGGTCAGGCCATATATTAACACTATAACTCTTTCGGTTTAAGCATGAGTCTTTACTTTGTTTTAAGTGGGCGATTTGCAAAAATAGGACTCGAAACATCCGTCGTTTGCAGATTTAACATAGGACCCACATTCACCCGAGTGTCATCATAACTAAGGAGTCAATATTTCGAGTGTCATTTTTGCAATTTTTTCGTCTTAAGCACACCCTATAGCTTGCCGACCCTGTCTTACTGTTGTGCCGGCGGCCCTCAGAATATCTTTTTTTTGTGTGTGTGTTCTCCTCGTCACTATTTTTATGATATTTTTTTTCATGAATTTCATAATTCTTTCGAGAATTTGAGGAGTATAATTGTATAACAAATAAGTTATTTGTTAATTGTATTTCAGTGTTGTATATGCTTACACGTCATTTCTGTATTGTGCCGGCTCAAACACGGTTTGGAATAAGAGCGGGGCAGTGTAGACATCGTGCCGAGATTTTATGGGTACTCTACATGACAACCTTGTGTTACATGACAACCTTGTGTTTTACCGTACTAGTATGAACCAAAATATTTTGTGCTGTCTCGTCGGACGATGCCAAACGACCGTGGCTTCGCTGGCCTCAGACGAGGCGGTCCATGTCCCAGCTCTGCTGGGCTCCGGCGGCCGGCGCATCGATGCATCGCTGCGCGACTCGCTGTCTGGCTGCCGCGCCTGCTTCAGCACTGCGATATGATATGTGACCTGGCGCCGGCAGCGGCAGATGAAAAGCGAAAGTCCGGGATGCAGCATGCCACTCGCCGACGCCGGCGCCGCCCAGGGAGGTGACGACGCGTTTCTCTAGATGGAGAGGACACGAGACGTGGAAGCCGTACAGGCAGCGTCGTTAAGCGTCATGTGAGCGATTTGTGCAGCGACGGCAGCGATCGCCGGCGCCTAAGCGGTCGTGGTACGGACCCTGTCCCTGCAGAGACAACAGTTTCGCTGAGGACCGTGCCCGGTGCCCCTGACTCCCTGACTCTGAGGGCTGGCTCTGCGCGCTTGGACTGGTTGTACGGATGCCATGACAACCGTATGATTGTGCCAGTGTGATGCTATCATCTCTTGAGCCCATCAGAGCTTTCTTCATCAATTCAACCCGCGTTTAGTTGGGTGAAAGTTGTAAATTTGGCTATTGTAGCACTTTCGTTTTTATTTGGCAATTAGTGTTCAATCATAGACTAATTAGGCTCAAAACATTCGTCTCGCAATTTTCAACCAAACTGTGCAATTAGTTTTTTTTCGTCTACATTTAATGTTATATGCACGTATCGCAAGATTCGATGTGATGGGTACTGTAGCACTTTTTGGGAAAACTTTTCGCGAACTAAACAAGGGCTCATCATCCATTCCCAGAACAAAGACGAGACAACCGTAACATGGGCTGGGCGCTGGGCCAGAAACCCGTCTCTCTCCTCCTCCGCCGAAATAGCTCACGGGTAAGTGTCGGCCCAAACAATCCCTCTCGTCCAGCCGCAAAGGGGCGCGTCATCTTCACGGGCTGGGCCAGTTCGCCGGCCCCATTCGGGCACCAGTCCAATCTAGTTGCTTGCTGCCGCTAGGGTTTCGTTTCATCACGGACGTGGCCGTCAAGTCTTTATGCGTCGTCCGCCGCGCCGGCAGTTAAACCCCATACCCGACAATAAACCCCGCGCTGCCCGCCTCGTTCCACGCCGCCGCGCCTGCCAGCAACCTTCTCAGTCCTCACGCGCAGCTTGGATAGGCAGCTCAGAGCTCGCGAACCAGTCATGGCGAACGAGGACGCGGCCGTGGAGGCCGGCGGCCGACCACTACTACAGATTTAGACATCACTGCCGGCCTCGTCACTGTCGGATTCGTGAGAACCGACAGTGATGTACGCTTCCGAGCTTGAAAACGAGAAAATGATTGAGGCTGGACTAAAACCGACACTAAAGGACTACATCACTGCCGGTTGTTAATACAAACGAGCAGTAATGTCTATTTACTATCGGTTGAATTACCAAACCGACATTGATCCATACTCTCGGACCCGAAAATTTTATCCATCTCAGTTAACTCCACATGCCTCCCAACTCCCTCCCAACACCACGGCAACCCGACAGACTCTCCTCCCCACGCCTCCACACCACGGCGGGCGGGGACCGACGCGAGAGCGGCTGCGCGGCTCGGCGCACGGATCCACCCCAGTGCGAGCACGAGGCCATCGCGGGCGCGGTCGTGCGGGGACCGGTGCGAGCGCAGCCGCCGCCGGAGTTGACGTAGAGATGGAGGAGGAGGAGCGCCGCCGTGGGGAGGCCAGATCCGGCCTCCACGCCACCGGATCCGGCCTCCACGCCGCTGCCGGAGTAGGGGGAGGAGCGTTGTCGTGGGGAGGCCGGATCCGACCTCCACGCCACCGGATTCAGCCTCCACGCCGCTACCGGAGTTGGAGGGAGAGGAGCGCCGCCGTAGGGAGGCCGGATCCGGCCTCCACGCCGCTGCCGGAGTTGAAGGGGAGGAGCGCCGCCGTGGGGAGAGGGCCGCCGCCGCCTCGCTCGCTCCCGGATCCGGCGATGAGGGCAAGGAGGAGCCCGGATCCGTCCTCCCCGCCACCGGATCCGGCTTCCCCCGCCGTCGGATCCGGCCTCCTCGCCCGCATCGCCTGAGGGAGAGAGGGAGGGGAGAGGGCCGTCGTGCCGGAGGGGAGGAGGGGCGTGCCCGCCGAAGGAGGCAGTCGCGCGCGCCCGTCGGAGAAGGAGGAGGTAGCCGCACTGTGTCTCCTCGGCAATCTCCCTTTCTGGTGCTTCTGTGTCTCCGCCGGTGTAGATGAGTTATTTTGTTTGTGTTGAACCATGCTCCTTTGTCTGTGGATGTACGAATTGATTTGTGATGTGTTGAACCCTTCTCCTTCGTCTGCGATGCACGAATCGATTTGTGGATGAGTTTTTCTGATGTGTTGGATATGTCCTTTATTTGTGATGTATGCTTTTTTTTCTTGGATGAAATGCTTGATGTAGTGGCGGCGGTAGCCAGCGAGCATGGTGGCGGCGGCGGCGGTAACGAGCATGCTCCAGCCAGCATGCTTGTTGGATTGCTTTTTTTTTTTTCTAAACCTTATCACTGTCGGGTGAAGTACCGACAGCAGTAGCCAGCGAGCATCACTACCGATATGCCACTGCCGGTTCAGAATCCGGCAGTGAAGTGGGATTTTGAACTTGCAATGATTTGAAAACTGGGGTAGTGGGCGGGGACGGGAAGCGGCGGAGCCAGGGGGGCCAAGTTTAATTAATAGATTGCTATGATCGAACTGCCAGGGTAAGATGATGATTGTAGATATAGTTTACTAAATGTATCACGTATATAAAGTCACGGTTTCATATTTTTTTATAACATAAAAGTTGTCGCAAGCAAAAGTATTAATAGGAACTAACCTTTTTCATATTAGTCTTACTCTGCGTGTCTTCCTAATTCACTCTCTGAACTTTAGCTGTTGTTTGCTTTGGTGTCTCTTCTGTTGCCTCTTCATATTTTTCATCCTCTTCTTGTTGTGCAGCAAGCCGATTAGCTACTTCATCTTCATCTGTCTCTTCGTCGTCAGAGGAAGTAACGCCAACATTCTTCTTGTAAAAACAATATAGTGTTCTCTTTTTGAGTACCATGATTATCCTACAGAAAAAAAATCATTCAGTACTCCAAATTAGAATATACAAAAATACTTGTAGATTTTATAGAGTATATAGGCTACAGCCTACATGAAGTAAATAAAAGTGATTAACCAGGCAAGATTATTTTACAAAGTATCGCTAAGTCACCTTGATCAACTACTCACTTATTGCTTGGTTAGGGATTTATTTATTTTTTAATTTCTGATGAGATGGAGAAGACGAGGAGGCCAGGCGGGTGCGATTCGGCGAAGGGCACTCTGTCTTCCTTCCGTGTGAATTTCTCGTGACTCTCTGAGTGCCGGGCGGACGTGCGTTTGTGTTTTCTGCACTGATGGCCGAGGCCCTCACGACGCTAAGCTACCAGGCCCAAATAAAAGAATGGAAGCCCATGTATGTGAGTAAATTATAGGAAAAGCAAATAGTATCAAGTTAATTAGACCCAACTACAGCGTATAGCCCATGTATGGAGTGCCGTGCGACGCCATGGGGTAATCCTTGAACTAGAGAGTATCAACGTCGCCCTAGTCATCACGGGATTGTCTCCACGTCCAAGCAAATGGAGGTAGGGTCGACGTCTTGGGATCGTTATCATCACGGGAGGGAGCCGCATCGGGTATATCTACAAAAGAAGGAAGTGTCGACGTCTACGGCAATTATTAGCTCGATGTGGCTCGGTTGCGCGTTTGACTGTCAGAAAATTGCGTTTTAAGCTTTGGCCAATTTGTGGCCACTACTACTTTGATAGCACCGTATAAAATTTGTCATCAATTTTCTTGGTAATACTGTGTACGCACATGCAAACTTTTGTAAAGTGATTGCAAAGTTCAGAACAACGGAGTACGTGCACTACACTGAAAGCCGAGGTGTCAAGCTGCCATATGCGGAAAGGATGATATTTGTTCTTTTTTAATTTAAAAAAAGAAAAACAGGGACTCTATGAATTTTTCATAATAATATTGATAGGCACACAATAGCACTATGCAGAGTTTTAATACTAGTCATCAGCTAAGCTAGTGCAGTAATGCCGTCGGCCGTTGCACTTGGCTAGGTTAAGCCTTGCCCGTTGTGGATTTCCTTTTTTTTTTACGACGACAGATGACGTCTGTCTGAAGCGGACTAGTAGTGGGCTGCATTGAGATTTAAGCATGTGAGATTTATGGCAAATTAAGGATCGATGTGATTTGAGAGCTCCACGTGACACCAATGCCTTGTTACGCACAATCAGCACAGTCTCAGGCTCCATTTCACACAACATTTGGAAAGCATAAGCAATTTGAAGACATCACCAAAAGATAGGCAAGACTGACTACAACAAATTAACTCGACCGTGACCCTCTCACCCCTAACACAACGACTAAACTCTGGACCCGCTTCAATCTCCCAGCTCAAACGGTGCCGATGAAGGGGAAAATTAAATATGCCCTAGGGCATATGCTCCCATCCCCATCGCTGTCGGATTCGCGTTACGATGGATGTGAATCTAATGGCAATGAGGATAGGAGCACATGCCCCTGTGGGTGGCCGTGAAGCCGGCCGCAGACTCTATCACCGTGGCCGTGGCCTCCAGCACGCTCGCGGCCGTTTCACGGTTTCCAGCCACGGCGGCGGCGCCCGCCCGCTCCACCTCCGTAGCTGCGGTGCAGCGGAGACTATGCGAGATCAGCAGGAGGAAAGTCGCCACTGTCGCCCATGTAAGTATCTAATCATCGAAGCTGACATCATCTTTTCTTCTCGCATGGCATCGGCGGGGCGCTGATGGGGGCAGCACGATCATCGCCGCTGGCGCTAGAAACAGCCACGCCAGGGCGGCTCCGACGGAGCGCCGTCCGTGGTAGCCAGAAGCAGTCCGGTAAGGCAGACGAAGCTGAAAGCGAAAAGCCCTCATCTCTGGTTGGCTGGCGTTTCCTCTGCCTTGGAGCTTGGCGGCAGCCTGCAGCTCTTGCGTTTTGTGGGAAATTTTGCATCCAACGGCGCGCGCGGGGGTGGGGCATATGCCCTTGTGGGCAAAGAAAACTTTTGCTGTGCGTTTGCAGTTGCTCGTGTTCTCGGCGTACCCGCTTTTATCGGGAAAACAGGATCCTCCTCCCACCGTCTCCCAGTCCGGCCCAAAACATGAGCCCGCTCTCCACAGCTCGCGGCCGGGGGGCAAACTGGACTACGGCCGCGCCAGGGCCCACGAGAGCGTCCGAGAGCGGGCAAAGCTACTGGGCCACAAACCCGTCTTTCTCCTCCTCCGCCGAAATAGCTCAAAGGGGCGTCGTCTTCACGGGCTGGGCCAGTTCTCCGACCCCATTTTGCTGCCGCTAGGGTTTCGTTTCATCGCGGACGACCGGACGTGGCCGTCACGTTTTTCTGCGTCATCCTCCGCGCCGGCACTACCATACCCAACCATAAACCCCGCGCCGCCCGCCTCGTTCCACGCCGCCGCACACCAGCAACCTTCTCAGTCCTCACGCGCAGCTCGGACAGGCAGCTCAGAGCTCGCGAACCAGCCATGGCGAACGGGGACGCGGCCGTGGAGGCCGTCGGGAACGGGAAGGAGGAGCCGGCGGCGCGCCAGGCTTCGACGTTCGCGGAGCTGGGTATCTGCGCGGAGCTAGTGGAGGCGTGCGACGCCATGGGGTGGAAGGAGCCCACCAGGATTCAGGCCGAGGCCATCCCCCACGCGCTCCAAGGTACTGCTATCCCACTCGTTCCATCCAGTGCACACGCTGCGCGGCGCGCCCTTTGGCGGGCGGTTGCGGCTTCGGCTGCGGACTCTTAATTCGGCGGCCGCCTTGGTTTTCGCAGGGAAGGATCTGATCGCGCTGGCGCAGACGGGGTCCGGGAAGACGGGCGCGTTCGCGCTGCCCATCCTGCAGGAGCTGCTCAGCAACCGGCAGGCCGAGCAGTCTTTCTTCGCTTGCGTGCTCTCGCCAACGAGGTGGGTTTCATTTCTCAGTCAATTACTTCGTTGAGGGGCGACGCACCAGTATCTAATTTGGAGTGTCCGTGGTTGCTAATCAGAGAACTGGCGATTCAGATCGCGGAGCAGTTTGAGGCGCTCGGATCAGCTATTGGTTTGCGTTGCTCAGTGGTGAGTGTTATCATTGCAATTATGCAAGCGAATTCCTTTTGGCTGTCAGCGTCTGAATGTGGCAAATCGTGACGCATTGATACAGTTGTACTTTATCTATGTTACAACTTTCTTATCTTAGTTATGCTTGTGACTTTATGATAAGTTGAGGTACCCATCTCTTCACTTTCCCCCACTTCCACCACAGTATCGCTCAGTTCTCTGTTCTGACATAGACATACTTGCACTATTAGATTAGATGCATTCAGATGTCACCTGGTGATATTGTATTTCTCATGCCTATTATGTGCCTTTGTGGATACCTTGGTTCTAGCTGACATTTTATTCTTTCACCAGCTTGTTGGAGGAGTGGATCGGGTGCAACAAGTGTTATCCATTGGAAAACGTCCGCACATTGTGGTGAGTGTTATACATTTCCTGATTTTCTCTACTTATTCCAAGCTAAAGTTCCTTTCCACATTTATATAGCAAAAGATGTTTTTGATGACTAAGTATGTTTCCAATCTGTGTTACTTTGAAATGTATACATTAAATAAAATTACTTCTGAAAAGCCACCACAATGGATCGGCATCCTTATCAAATCCTGCTTCTCATTGAGCTCTTGGAGAGAGTCATTGCATTAAGCCTGAGAAGTACTTTGTAACAACAACCATACCAGCTTTGATTCTCTTTGGCTCTTCCATACTTGCATGACACTGAAATTTGTTGTATGCTATTATTTATATAAGTGAAATACTCTGTTTAAGTTGATTTTATTTCACATATTGTTTTGTCTTCATCTGTACTAACCTTCTCCGTAATACTTCCTTCAAAACCTAGGTTGGAACTCCTGGCCGTCTTTTGGACCATTTGACAGAGACTAAAGGTTTTAGTCTTAAGAAAATCAAGTATTTGGTATGTATTCATTTTTCTTATATCTAAGTAAAAAGTCTCAGGGTGTATGTCCTGAATTTCTTGCTAGATACTTCCTTCGTCTGGAAACGGATGTAGTTCTAGCATAGTACCGAGTCAAAGCATCTTAAGTGTGACTATCCTTACATTTTGGAGCATATGTCTTAATTTGAGATAACTAGTTGAATAGGTTAAATTTTTTTTATTGTTATGTTCTTTTGTATTGCTAGGTATTGGATGAAGCCGATAAGTTACTTAATGTGGAGTTTGAGAAATCCCTCGATGACATTCTGAGAGAGATCCCTAAAGACAGGAGGACTTTCCTTTTCTCAGCGACTATGACCAAAAAGGTTTGTGCACAGTGTGCTTATTTATTTATGAGATGAAACTACTTAACTTATGGAACCTTTTAATCACACAACAACAACAACAACAACAAAGCCTTTAAGTCCCAAACAAGTTGGGGTAGGCTAGAGTTGAAACCCAGCAGAAGCAATCAAGGTTCAGGCACGTGAATAGCTGTTTTCTAAGCACTCCTATCTAAGGCTAAGTATTTGGGTATATTTCATCCTTTCAAGTCTCCTTTTATTGCCTCTATCCAAGTCAACTTCGGTCTTCCTCTGCCTCTCTTCACGTTACTATCCTAGCTTAGGATTCCACTACGCACCTGTGCCTCTGGAGGTCTCCATTGGACATGTCCAAACCATCTCAATCGGTGTTGGACAAGTTTTTCTTCAATTGGTGCTACCCCTAATTTATCACGTATATCATTGTTCCGAACTCAATCCCTTCTTGTATGACCGCAAATCCAATGCAGCATACGTATTTTCGCGACACTTATCTGTTGAGCATGTCGTCTTTTCGTAGGCTAACATTTTGCACCATACAACATAGCAGGTCTAATCGTTGTCCTATAAAACTTGCCTTTTACCTTCTGTGGTACCCTTTTGTCACATAGGACACTAGATGCTTGGCGCCACTTCATCCACCCTGCTTTGATTCTATGGTTAACATCTTCATCAGTATTCCTGTCTCTCTTTAGCATTGATCCTAAATATTGAAAGGTATCCTTCCTAGACACTACTTGACCTTCCAAACTAATATCTAACTCCTCCCGAGTAGTAGTGCCGAAGTCACATCTCATATACTACTGAGTCTAAAACCTTTGGACTCTAAAGTCTTCCGCCATAACTCCAGTTTCTGATTCACTCCTGTCTGACGTTCATCAACTAGCACTATATCGTCCGCGAAAAGCATACACCAAGGGATGTCCCCTTGTATGTTCCTTGTGACCTCATCCATCACTAAGGTAAACAGATAAGGGCTCAAAGCCGACCCTTGATGTAGTTCTATCCTAATCGGGAAGTCATCCGTGTCTCCATCACTTGTTCAAACACTAGTCACAACATTGTTGTACATGTCCTTAATGAGCCCGACGTACTTCGTTGTGACTTTATGTTTGTCCAAAGCCCACCACATAACATTCCTTGGTATTTTATCATAAACCTTCTCCAAGTCAATAAAAACCATGTGTAGGTCCTTCTTCTTCTCCCTATACCGCTCCATAACTTGTCTTATTAAGAAAATGGCTTCCATGGTTGACCTTCCGGGCATGAAAACAAAATTGGTTCATAGAGACCCGTGTTATTGCTCTCAAGCGATACTCGATAACTCTCTCCTATAGCTTTATAGTATGGCTCATCAACTTAATTCCTCGGTAATTAGTACAACTTTGAATATCCCCTTTATTCTTGTAGATCGGTATCAATATACTTCTCCACTCGTCAGGCATCTTGTTCAATCGAAAAATATGGTTAAACAGTTTGGTTAGCCATACTATAGCTATGTCCCCAAGGCATCTCCACACCTCGATTGGGATACCATCAGGTCCCATCGTCTTACCTTCTTTCATCCTTTTCAACGCCTCTTTGACCTCAGATTCTTGGATTCTCCGCACAAAACACCTATTGGTGTCATCAAAAGAGTCATCCAACTGAAAGGTTGTGTCCGTATTCTACCATCAGGTCCCATCGCCTTACCTTCTTTCATCCTTTTCAACGTCTCTTTGACCTCAGATTCTTGGATTCTCCGCACAAAACACCTATTGGTGTCATCAAAAGAGTCATCCAACTGAAAGGTTGTGTCCGTATTCTCACCATTGAATAATTTGTCAAAATACTCTTGCCATCGATGTCGGATCTCATCCTCCTTCACCAAGAGATGCTCCATTTCATCCTTAATGCACTTAACTTGGTTGAAGTCCCTTGTCTTTCTCTCACGAACCCTAGCCATCCTATAAATGTCCTTCTCTCATTCCTTCGTACTCAAATGTTGGTAAAGATCCTCGTACGCTCTACCCTTTGCCACACTTACAGCTTGCTTTGTAATTTTCTTTGCCACCTTGTACTTCTCTAAGTTGTCCACACTCCTGTCATGGTATAATCGTCTATAGCATTCTTTCTTCTCCTTAATAGCCCTTTGGACTTTCTCGTTCTACCACCAAGTATCTTTAGCCTATCTTCCACTTCCTTTGGTTACTTCACACACCTCTGAGGCCACCTTTCGAATGTTGGTTGTCATCTTCTCCCACATGTTGTTTATGTCCTCTTCTTCCTTCCAAGAGCCCTCTTTGATAATCCTTTCCCTGAATACCTTTGACGTCTCCCCTTTCAGTTTCTTTCAATCTTAGCTTGTTTATCCCTACGGGCACGCACCTGAAAACGAAAGTCAATCTGGTATCACCTTGCAACCCAAGCATACTCGTTTGTCCTTTTTTTTGCGAGGACAAAGTCAATTTGGCTAGAGTGTTGTCCGCTACTGAAGGTCACTAGATGAGATTCTCTCTATCTAAAGAAAATGTTGGCTATCATCAGGTCAAAAGCTACCGCGAAGTCTAGAACTTCCGCCCCCTCCTGATTCCTACTACCATACCCAAAACCTCCATGAACTGCCTCGAAACCTGCGCTTGTAGTACTTACATGCCCATTAAGATCTCTTCCTATAAAAAACTTCTCACTACTAGGTACAACTCTAATCAGGCCATCTAAGTCTTCCCACAACTGTCTCTTAGCACTCTCGTTGAGGCCTACTTGGGGGGTATACGCACTAATTACGTTCAAGACCATATCACTAATGACAAGCTTGACTAAGATAATCCTATTTCCTTGCCTTCTCACTCCCACCACACTATTCTTGAGGCTCTTATCAATCAAAACTCACACTCTATTTCTATTCGCGATTGTTTCTGTGTACCAAAGCTTGAAACCTGTATTGTCCACCTCCTTCGCCTTCTGACCCTTCCATTTAGTCTCTTGAACGCATAATATATTTACACGTCTCCTAGTCGCGGTATCAACTAATTCTCTTAACTTACCTGTAAGCGACCCTACATTCCAACTATCTAAACGGATCCTAGTTGGTTCGACTAGCTTCCTTACCCTTCGCACCCGTCGACTTAGATGCGAAGACCCTTGCTCATTTTTCACTACACCCGGGCGCCGATGTAGCACGCCACTAAGGATGCGACGACCCGATCCTTGCTCACTTGACACCGTTCCCAGATCGCGACACGGCGCGCCATGGGGGTGACGACCCGGCCCTTGCTCATTTAACACCATACCCGGGTTCCGATATGGCGTGTCGCTAAGAGGGTTATGCCCCAACGGTTTTCTTTCGGGTTTCATCTCCATTAGAATGGCTAGATTTAACGTTGGCTCGCCACGCCTATCACAACCAAGGCTTGGGACCTGCTATATTGAGACAACATAGGCGCACAAGTGAAATAAATTAATAATAGCATTAAGTTCTTGATACGGGCATGTTCATTGCTGCCATTGGTAATCACAATCATATAGCAGCACTTTAAAGTGCCTGAGATGATCAAAGAGTGATGGTGTCTCATATTTATCATGGCAAATGTTACTGTTAGTTGATTTTCTGTTATTTCATATTAGATCATTCTTTCCTAGTGTGATTTTTTCAATACAATCAGTCCATATTTTCATGGACTAATTTCATTAACACCGCTTTGCATGCGTTTTGTTTGACTAAATGAAGCTCCCTTTCCAATAACTTAGGTAAATAAGCTGCAACGTGCTTGCCTCAGGAACCCTGCTAAGGTGACATTCTATCTTTGCCTTTTCAGTTACTAAGCAAAGAGTTGACATCTTGGGTCTACTTTCTTATTCTCTACTTGTGTTTACAACATTTTTTTGTGGAAACAGATTGAAGCGGCCTCCAAATATTCTACAGTAGATTCACTTAAACAAGAGTTCTATTTTGTTCCTGCAGATGACAAGGTCAGATATTTGCTCAAAGCCTCCACCATTATGTGTTGCTGCTGCTGCTGCTGTCCTTGCTGCTTAAATGATTTTCTTCAGTCCATGTGATCCAAATCCATGCCCTCAAGACTTTTTTGTGTTATCATGGACAATGCATGATATGCTTAGCTTTGTTGCAATGTGTGATCTTTTCTGGTTTTGTCCTAAGTCAAAGTAGTCTAAGTTTGACTAAATTTATTAAGAAGATTATTAACATATACCACATCAAAGCAAAGAAGTAAACTACAAAAATATGTCACAATGGATCTAATGGCGCTTCTTTGATATAGTAAATATTATTGTTCTTTTATATAAACTTTGTCAAACCTCAAGTAAGTGAGTAATTTGACTTAGGAGTTAGGACTAACCCAGAAATGCTTATATTCTGGGAAGGAAGGAGTACTATTTTGATAAATACATGCATGTATGTCAACGTGCATTCTAGTGGATGTACAATTTGCTTCAAGTTCTTTGTTATTCACTCTATGCCTAGTTATAGCACCTATCCCCTTGTCAGCCTAAAAAAAAGGGCAGACCCAGTGCCGGAGGCTCCCACATGAGTGGGGTCTGGGGAAGGGAAAAACCGAGGCAAGCCTTCCCCCCACAAACCTATCCCCTTGTCAGCCTAAAGAAAACAAATGCAACAGGCTCTACCATTTCGGAAGTACTTCACAATAACATATTTTCTCACTCTTTTACAACAAAATGGTTTGAACCTTTTGATACATAAGTGAGCAACCAACCAAATGATTGGAACCAATTTGATGTTTCGATTCTTCTTGTGTTGCATGTCTCTGTTAACTGTCTGGACAATCCCCAATTCATTTAATAAGCAGTTATGGAAAATCATGGCTGCAATGAATTTACCGTATTGAATGTCGTTAACCTAATTCAACATGTGTTATGGGCGGACTAATTGAATTCTATATTGGTTACCATTAGTCCATCACAGCAGAGTACCCTTTTCCATCATTTGTCTCTGATCTACCTTTTTTTATGTGAATTTCAGGATTGCTATCTTCTTCATGTTCTGAATGAGAGGCAAGACAGCATGATCATGATCTTTGTGCGCACATGTGAATCTACTAGGCTCCTTGCTCTTATGCTGAGGAATCTTGGTTTGAAAGCTATGTCTATCAGTGGCCAGATGAGTCAGGTTTACTTTCTTTGACTTAAAATGTCAGACATATAGATAATTATATGACTATTCCATTCAGTAGGTTAATCCTTCTGTTCTGTGAAGTGGATTTGTCTTGTTTATGTCTTCCCTTTAATAATACTTTTTGTTTATTTTTCTTTATTACCAGGACAAGAGACTAGGTGCTTTGAACAGGTTCAAAGCGAAAGATTGCAATATCCTTATTTGCACTGATGTAGCAAGTCGTGGCCTTGACATTCAAGGAGTTGATATGGTCATCAATTATGATATTCCAATGAATTCTAAGGTCTCTTTCTGTCTGTTTGAGTACTTGTCTTGGGCCATTGTGATTTCATTTTAACTGCTTACAATTAGATGTTCAAATTGGATTTGTTATGGTCTTAAATTTTATGCTGCGCGACATGTAGGATTATGTTCATCGGGTGGGTAGGACCGCACGTGCAGGGCGGTCAGGATATGCTGTATCTTTGGTGAATCAATATGAAGCCCAGTGGTTCGTGCTGATCGAGAAGCTCCTTGGTAATTACAGTTTTTTTTCACCTTTTTTTTTTCTTAGCAATTGGCAGCCATAGCTGGAGATGTCATTTTTACAAAGCCTGCCTCTCTTATCAACTACGATTTGCAGGCAAGCAAATTGACCAGCGTAAGGTGGACAGAGATGAAGTCATGATACTTAAAGGGCCCATATCCGATGCAAAGAGAATTGCACTTACGGTACGTTCTCCTTTGAAATCAGTATCGATTCTGTAATTTTGGCGCCATTCTTGCTGGTAGCAAATCTGTGCAAAAGTATGGCTATCTGCTGGCACTTACAGTTACAGTCATGCTACTTATCTTGCCTTGTAGAAATTGAAGGATTCCGGCGGCCACAAGAATCGGAGAAACGTGGGAGATGACGACGAAGAGGTGGAAGATCATTCTCATTCTAAGAGACTGAAATCCTTCAAGAAATCAAACAGACGATGAAGGCGCCGGAGCTCGCCTGATGAGCTAGAATCTGAGTGTAATGCTGCTTCATTTTTATCCAAGTCCTCTGTGGTTCAGCGCACACCCTGTGGGTTTGCAGTGATGCTTAATGTTTTAGGTATATACTAGGGCCAGTTAAGACTTTTACTTGTCACCATTGCTTCCGTTGACGCAAGTCTCCCAATTTTGTCATCCCGACCCAAACCATGTTACACAAGGAAATCATTTTTATTTTTGCTGAAGGCTGAGCTATTTCATTGGAGTCTTGTTAACTACTGGGTCTCTTTTGCCAGAAGGCATAGGCAGCCGTCGGCATGTGTTAACAGATGACTGAAACAGGGTGTTTTTAGTGCCTTCACAGGGGTGATTGGGTGAAAGAAAAATGCAGCTTTATACGACCATACATTGTTTCTATAGAGCGCGCTTTTTTTTTTTTTAAGTTCATTGTTGACAATTATTTGTCCTTAATTTTTTGTTGGTATTTTCCTTTCACTCACTGGAAATAGTGAAATTGCGCTAGAGCACCGCGGTTATTAATGTACGTAGTACCTAGCATACGCCTCCAAATACCTGAACGACAGAAACTCAGAAAGCGCAAAAACCAAGCAAGCCTGCAAAAAGCTGCACGCTACAGGAGCAAGAAACGTCAATGCTGTCGATCCGTGACATGCTTTTTTTTTTAATTCTTATTTTATTTGAGTAGTATCATTTTTTTTGAAAGGATTGAGTAATATCATTAGATGTCGATTCCATGAAAATTGTAAGCTTCGTTTCATTTTATCTTAGTTGGATCGTTTCGTTTGCATTAGTTATTTTATTTTTTGAAAGATGCATCCGATATTTGAGTAGTATCATACTATCATTCGATGTCTATTCCATGAAAATTGTAAGCTTCGTTTCATTTTATCTGAGTTGGATCGATGTCTATTCCATGAAAATTGTAAGCTTCGTTTCATTTTATCTGAGTTGGATAGTTTGCATCCGAAAAGCTACGATGCTGTCGATCGGTGACATGTTTTTTTGAATTCCTATTCCACGGTGACATGTTTTTTTGAATTCCTATTCCATGAAAATTGAAGTGAACTATAACCAAAAGAAATAGACATATATATGAACTCCATTTTGTAAAAAAATATCAACTACATAAATTGTATATATAAAGATCAAAATCATATCATAGATTAATTATTAATTAATTTGTGGACACTTGTCCCACATATCAGATATTAAACTGATAAAAACAGATAATCTTAGCCAAAAGACCGAGAAAGGTATGAGTTGACTTGTTTCTATGCACCTTCTTTTATACACGCCTCACCTGACCTATGTCTGTCACCCCTCGGTGTGGTACAATTCCTCAGTTCAATAGCTGATGCTAATCTCAATCTGAGGTTCGTTAGCAAAACAAGGCCGTATTAATTATGATGTTAGGCTTAACGGTCCATTAAGCAATCTTGGCCTGGGCTTGATGGGCATTGGCCTTCTCTGACTGTTCAATGGGCCTAAATCCAGTGCACACAGCTAACGAAGGCCCAATGCAGAACCAGATTGGCCTTCTCTGAGTGTTCAAGAACTACTTTATCAAGAGATTTTGTTGGTTCATTTTCTCTGTGTGACTTCCTTGGCAGGCAGCAGGCTGCGATTTTTTGGCATGCGCTAATCAAAGTTGAAGGCCTTTCTTCCTCTACTAACAGCAGGGTAATCTAATTCCTGGGATGCAGATGTGCAGTCACTTCTGATGATGGAAGCTTGCAAGCTACAAAAGGTGGTGTTGCCCTGTGCTTGGATTTATAAGATGGAGCATCCATGTTTTGAAAGATATATGAAAGATGCCTATGTAACAAATGAGAGAACAGAACCAACAATAAATACAACCAACTATATAGTATGAAACTAAATCTTGAATTAGCACTAGGAAAACAAAACCATGAGAGAATTTTGCCTAGGCTTGCAAGATGTTGAGAAAAAAAAATTCTATGTTGAATAAGCTCGCTACATTGGCAAGTTTCTCTACTGTATAAAAAACATAGGGAAAGATTCCTTGACTACCATTTCTATATGAAAATACTAGCCCGTGTTTCTCTTAAAAAAGTTGCAAGACTAAGGCGGATCACTTGGACTATACACCTGTTAAAAAACCTCTAGCTAATCCAAACACTTTAGACTATGAACTAAATTATAATACCAACCGGTGGATAATAATCCTATAATCCACTTCTAGTCTTCTAAAAGGATATTATAGTTCAACCAATGATAAACAAACACCTATAATCCAAGGTTCCAAACAATTTAGACTATTATAATCCATAATCTAGATTACTGTGATGTAATCAAAAGCTATAATCTAGATTATAATAATTCAAAGTGATTCAAACAAGGTCTAAATCTTCCGTTGTTTTACCTAGGGTTTGGTTTACTGGCGGCATCAACGAGATGTGGCGGTGATATCGTATTGAAATAAAGTCTCTCCCTACCTTGAAGGTGTCTGATATGCGGTTTAAATGCATGTTGGAGGCGTTTCATTACATAACACCATGCAATATTTAAATGCTATACTAAGAATATGAGACTGCACAATTAAAATTATGCATTGTGGTTTTTATTTTATTTCATCACTCCACATCTCTTTAGTTAATAGGGCGCTCTTGGAAATAGTGTAACGAAACTTACAATTGAAGAAGGCCTTATCAACGCAACAAATGGTGTCTTTGAAAGGAGAGGTCCATAGACCTATTACTTATCTAGGCATAGGGCTGAAATGGTTGGGATAAAATCCCATTGGCTTAGCCTCAATTTCTATGGTTAACCAGCTTGAATTCATATTCACAAGCATCTTGATTGGTTTCACTTTCCATCTTTGGCAAATTTGAAAACAAGACGAAAATGATGTAGCTATTTTTTTAATCTTTTTCGCTTTCCCTATTCTTTGTCTGGACATCTCGCTTTTAGCCCCGGATATCCCGTTATAGTCAGTCCATTAATTCAGCCTAGCTAACCACACCTCACTATAGCAGCCCAACCTCGCTCATGGTGGATTTTTGGCCGCTATGTTGTGTTGTGGACTTATATTCTTGTAGTGTTGTACTATTTTAATAGATCTTACCGTATTAAATAGAACTATAGCAATTAAAGTCATATTTCTTCGTTCTATGTTCGTATTTTCGTTTTGCCTTTTCAATCCCTGACCGTCATTCACATGTTTATGTTCAAATATGTTCTTTCTTATATCTCGTAAACCGCATATTTGTTTTAGTTCCTAGCCTTTTTTATTCTACTTTAGTAATAAAATATATAAGTGAAAAATACTATAGGGCTTATGATTCGGTCCGTTCTATTCAATACACAATGGCATTTCCCATAAATGATCAAATTTGGAAACATTTTTGGTAGTACAAAAACTTTTTCACTATTATTTTTAATTTGGGAGCTGCTACACTATATGTGTGATTTTTAAAAAATTTCAAGCAACATCTTATACAATCAACTAATCTATATCTATATCTATCTATCTATCTATCAATATCAACTACCACTAGCATTTTATCTCGCTATGCAAGCTGTCTACATCAGTATCCACTAGCACTTACAATTATGTCTTCGTTTGAGCTATTCACATTAGCAAACCACATGTAACACCCTCGGTGTTACACCATAAATCAATTACTAAAATATGTCATGAGCATCATGTTTATGTGTTAATGCATGTGATAGAATATGTAGATCAATTTCTTATAACTTAAAATGATCAATAAAAAATATTAAACGAAAGTTGATTCAATAGTTCAAGTATATAAAGTAGGGTTTAAAACTAATTTTTATTAAGCAAAAATACTATAGAACATGTGTGTGATACTTAAATAAAGTTTAAAGTACAAACTTTGTAGATAACAGTAAAATACTTGCTGTCGAAAAATGATATTACTAGCTAATATTTCCACTAGCTTAGAAATCGTAAATTGAAATCAAATCCAGCTCAAAACTAAATTTTTTTCCAAGTTGTCAACAACTAGACATTGCTATGTTTAGCAAATTATTTTGAGAGATTGGGTTAAAGGGTGGTGTGGTGTTATAGCTCGATTTGGTAGTCTCATATGCCATCTTGAGTATGGTGAAGATGGTTTAGGTCCTGAAGCAACCGTTTAGTTTTTATGGGCGCTTTAAAATTCATGCACGACGTAGTTTCGGGCTGGTTGGGCACGTGGGCGCAATCACCACGCTCGGGCGTTCAGCGTTGCCACGCTGACTGTTCCATGCTCACGCTGCGTCTTTGCCACGCGTGGCGGCCACTGTTGCTCTCGCTGGCACTGGTTGTGGCACTGCCGCCACCGCTGCTCTGGCGCTGCGGAGACGCTCTCTGTTGCTTCTTGCGCACTGGTCGGTGCCGCCCTTCCTTCTGCCATTATGCCGCGATGTGGATTCGCCCTTACGCCGCAGCCGCTGCCGATCCCGTCGCCTCGTCGTCAAGTCCGTGCCTCTCTCTGCATCTCTGCGCTGCTGCCGCCTCTGCCGCGCGCACGTGGTCGGGCTCGCTGTGGCCTTGTCATTAATGGCACTATGGCCCGCGGGCCACGCCGGTCGTGAACGCGCGCGCCTATCTGCTAGCGCCTGTGCGTGGGCCTCCATGATTACGTCAACCGCGTCCCACCAAGGCGAGGACGAGCCGAGCCCACCTGTCGTGCCCCATCTCTCTCTTTCTCTCTTTCCTCTGCCGCCGTCGTTGAGCCGCGCCATCAAATTACCCTACGAACGATCACCTCCATTCAATTCGTTGCATCCACGGCTTCACCATCATGTCCTCTCGCTGCCCAACCCTACCAAGCCTTGAAGCGCGCACGACTAAGCTCTAATTTTGTAGTTTCCCTACCACCGTGCCGATAAGGCCGCGTCCGGCCGTGGATGTGGGCAGCCCTCCTACCATCTCTTCCGAGCCAATTCACTTACACCACCAGCTTCGCCTCGCCTCCCTCTCCACCTTGCGCATGTCAGAGGAACCGCTATTGCCTCCCCGCCATCGCTGACGTGACTATGCCGCCGCGGTATGCCACCGCACGGTTCGGCCGTACATGGCCAGCCCTCCTCCGTCATCCTCCGCCCCAACTGTCACCTCGGCCTGGTCCGGGGTAGCCTCCTAATGCTCACGCGCTAACCAATTAGGCCTGTAGCTACCCCTGCCCACCGGAACAGTGGCGTCGCCGTCGCAGATGACCGTGGGCCGCTGCAGCCTTCCCCAGCCAGTCATGTCATCCTGCACCGCCGCTTAGCGTAGCCGCTTGGGTTAAAGATGATGACCGACCTATTAGGTGGGCCCACGCAGGTCCCAGGTAGCCAGCGTAGGCGCTCACTACCGTCGCTCACCGTGCCACCGTGCAGTGAGTTGTTGGGGGTGCGCGCGGGTGAATTAGGGAAAGGCCAGAGAGTTAAGTGAGAAGTTCTGAGAGAGGGGGAAATAAGCGTTAGGACTTAGTTGTAATTCAGGAGAAGTACGAGGACTCTTTTGCAAAGTCATCGACGCGCGCGGGATTCCCCGGCGCGGGCCACCGCGCGCTCGCGCGCACGTTGCGTCGCTTGGGTACGTGTGTGGGCTGCATGGGAGAATTTATTTTTCTTTTTCATAAGGAATTAGAAATAGTTTTCTAATTTAATTTTTGAGTTGATCTTTGGTAAATCATATAAAATCGTGTAGATGTCCAAAAATTATGAAACAAATTTTGTTAGGTTTCTAAAATTGTGCTCTGTCTGTTAGTGTATTTAGTTCATATATATACATGTTGATATCAGGAGCTATTAAATCATTTGAGAGTGCTCAATATTGTTAACTTAATTATTGTAGGATTTTATTTTGGTAAATTAGTGATAGCATTAGTCCTAAAAATTTTATAGTAGCTTTATGGTATTATTATGCGCTCACTGCAATTTTTATAGCTTTAGAATAGACTAAACATTAGGGTAGTTAAATGCTCTTTGTTTCAAATATACATTAAATCATTAGTAGAAATAAAAATATATCCTTCATTTGTAAAGCTAGGTGTTTGTTAGTTGAATCCAACACTTTGCTTGGTAAAGATGATAGTTAGCTTAGTATCTTAGTCATTAGAGCTAGCTTAGTAGCTTAGTATGCATATTCTTATTTTAAGAGTTGCTGTTGCACAAATGCTAAGTATTGCATCATCATCGCATGCATGTAGAGAACGAGTTGGCGGAGACCGTGACCACCGGAGATCATGAGTTTGAGGAGATCGTCGAGGAGTACGACGAGGAGATTCTCGTGCAAGAGGAGGTCCAAGAGACGCCACTGACTGACTCAGCTGACACCGCGCCTGTCTAAGGCAAACCCCGGTGCATAACCCTTATTTTTGATAATCACTGAATATATGTATGTGATGTGTATTTACGTTACAAGAATTTTATGAAAACCACATGCATAGATATAACTGTCCTATAAGTCCTATTAGTGCAGGTTTGAGTAGCTGCTATGCTTAGGTTTTTGGTAGCGTGAGTAACCTGTCGTTACTCATAATAGGTGATTATTATAATTACTCTCATGATAAAATGATGAAAGAAAAAATAGAGACATGGCAGGAATATGGTATGGATATTGGTGGGTGTAATATGTTGTGTCCCGCGGCCAATGGGGCTTAGCTTAGTTACACTGTTTTTTCTGTCCGTGTCGATTAAGGACCGTTCGTTGCTGTGGATGGTAGTCAGGTCATAAACTTATTATCCTGAGCACATATTTGCTTATGGGTGTGGGAACGCTCGTTACGCTCTTGTCGTGGGTTCTGGCTCTTTCCGGACCGACTGATTGGAGGCGGGAAAAGGTGAAGGTCTAAGCACCATACTGAGACCGGGTCTCAAGTGTGGGGGTTTGGAGTCCAAGTTTGGACGGGGATCTAGATCCCGTGATAGGAGTGAAATGGGTTGGTCTTGTTTGTGCCTAGGGTACAAACATGATGTGTGTTTTGGGGTACCCAGCTAGGATATATTGGTTCACGAATCATCGTTTCCATGAGACGGTACGACTTGGCTATGGTCTCGCACCATGGTAAGAACTGGAAGATGAAAGATGATAAAATTGTTCTGATGGCTCAACCCTTGCTTGAAAGTAGAATAGGTGCTTAACTAGAATGGTTAGCTAATGAAGTAATCATGACTGCTAATAAAACTTGACTGTAAGAATGAACTATTAGTAATGTTTTTCGCAAACAAAAAAACAGCAAACCCATATTGCCTATCATATTCCTTGGAGTCGGTAAACTATTTTCACTAGTCGGGTAAGTCTTGCGAGTATATTGTGTACTTAGGGTTTATTTTTCCCCTGTTGCAGGTGTAGCTTGAGGAGTAGCTCTTATGTGGAGAATTCTTTTGGTGGGCACAGACGTATCCTTGTATCGTTTTCGCTAGATACTTATTTTCATTCCGCTGTTTAATTATCGTACTCTGAACTCTGGTATTATAATAAATAATTTCTAAGAATTCTTGTGGTATAAAATTAACTAAGTATTGTAAGCTCGTACTCATTATTGGATTCTGAACGTAAAACGTGGATGGTTTCGAGTTCTCCCTTGGGGTGGGCTCGACGGAACTGTCCGATTTAGTCAACTTTCGATGTGCTTAGTGTCTAATGGAAGACGAACGCCTCCAAAAACGTGTTATTTCAAGCGGTTCTACCACACCACATCATTTACTAACATATATTTGGTTGTGTACATCAGAGTGCTAAATCATGCACTAACATGTATTTATGATATTTATTTGTTCATATAAGTAAGTATAACTAGTATAGTTTTATTTGCTATTTCCACGACTACATATGGGGTATTTTTCTAGTATAACGAAAAAACAACTCACGAGAGTTAACTTATATTTTTTCTGTAGTTAAGTAATGACAAAATATATGTTGTCTAAACAATAACAAAAATCAGGCCCCTCAAATACAGCCATATAGGAGAATTGTTTTTATTGATCTTTTCCTAGTAATTCAAGTTTAGTAACGAGCATGAGTAGTGCTAACATACTACTACCTCCGTCCATAAAAAAATGTAATTCTCGCTTTTTGAGAAGTCAAGCCACTTAAACTTTAACTGAATTTTATATAAAAATATTAACATTTATGATACAAAATAAGTACAGTTAGATTAGTTATAGAATATATTTTTATAATAAATATATTTGGAGACATAAATATTAATATTATTTATTATAAATTTAGTTAAACTTAGGTAAGTTTGACCGATACGTTTCGTATAATTACGTTCTTTTGCGGGAGTATATAAAAATGGTAAAAGAAGCCCACTGATGTCTTCAAGTTCATCGTTTTATATGAGCAAAAGAAAACGGACAAAAGAAACGGCGGTGCGACGTCACAGACACCACCGCGGAAGCCACGGAAACGGAAGGCACCACAGCACAAAACACAAGAACCTCAGCAGCAGCAGTAGCAGCAGAGAGCCCATCGATTTCTGTGTCTCCGTCCAACCATCCACATGGGCATGGTGACGGCGCTGATGGACGGCGAGGTCGGCGCTCTCGTCAAGGTCTCCGCGGCGGTGTGGGTGGCGATGTCGTACGCCCGCCTCGCCGCGGCGCGTCTCCGGCCAGGCGCGCCTCGTCTACTGGCGCTCCTGCCCGTCGTCGCGCTCCTCTGCGCGATCCCCTTCGCCTTCTCGACGTCCACGTTCCGGGGCACCTCGGGCTTCTTCCTCGCCTGGCTCGGCTCCTTCAAGCTGCTCCTCCTCGCCGCCGGCATTGGGCCCCTCGACCCTTCCCTCCGCCTCTCCCACTTCGTCTGCTCGGCCTCCCTCCCCGTCAAGCTCCGGCGGCAGTCCAAAGAGAAGAGCCAAGCTCCCGCCCGTGGCCCGGCGAGGATACTCCTCTCCGGCGCCGTCATCCCGGGCGTCATCTACGCGTACCAGTTCAAGAGCTCGATGAGCAGGTACCAGCTCCTCGTCCTCTACACCTTGCACATCTACTTCTCCCTGGATCTCCTCCTCGCCACCGTCCACACCGTGATACACGACCTGCTCGGGATGGAGATGGAGCCGCAGGTGGACCGTCCTTACCTGGCCTCGTCGCTGCGTGACTTCTGGGGCCGGCGGTGGAACCTCATGGTGCCGTCCATCCTCCGGCCGTCGGTGTTCCGCCCCGTCCGCGCGCGCCTCGGCAGCGCGGCCGGCGTCCTGGCGACGTTCCTCGTGTCCGGCCTCATGCACGAGCTCATGTTCTACTACATCATGTGGAGCACGCCGAGCGGCGAGGTGACCACCTTCTTCCTCCTGCACGGGGCGTGCGCGGCCGCCGAAGGTTGGTGGGCGTCGCATGCCGGGTGGTGGCGCCCGCCGCGGGCCGCCGCCGTGCCGCTCACGCTGGCCTTCGTGGCCGGGACGGGGTTCTGGCTCTTCTTCCCGGCCATGGTCAAGGGCGGCCTTGACGAGATGGTGCTGCAGGAGTGCCAGGGCATGGTGGTGCTCATGGAGCAGGCTGCCCGGCGGCTCGCCGGCGCCACAGATCTCGTCTCGTCAACCATGTGACCTTGAGCAAACGAAACGGCATGCAAATCTCTACCGCAGGATTTAGATCCGACGGTTGTCGTGATGTGGTTGGTGGATGCGCTAATAGTGTTTCTTTAGTGATGAGCTGTGACTGTGGCTGTCAGCTTTCCGTAATTAAATACACATTGTCTTTCAGATCCGGATGACAGGAGTGATATGATAGTTGGGAGGGATGCAAGCGGGTTAAAATTCTGGGCACGGGGTGTTTGGACTGCTCCGCTTTATATTTTTGAGCGTTTCGTGTTTTTTAACCTAATAGTTTTAGCTTCACGTGTTCTGTTCGAGAAAAAATAATGGAGCTATGAATGTATTAAAAGGGATGTTCCATAAACTCTAAATTTTTGTGGAACTGTTCTATGGTGAAATTTATGGAGCAGTCCCAAACACTCTACAAGGCAACTAATTTTATAGCCGCTCCAGCTCCTCTGCCTCTCACAAAATCACTACGTGTGGCTCAAAATCTGTATATTATAAGAATTATTTAGTAATGTATTTCCTTCATTATAAAATATAAGGTATTTAAAAAAAATCTAGAACAAATTATGTAGTCTCTCCGTACTAAAATATAAGGTATCCAAATAATTTTAGAACATATTATGTGGTAAGACAAATGACATATATAACTCTTCCTGATTATCATATTTGGTTTGGTGACATATATTAATAGTAGGTATGCATGTGAATATTGTCTTTAGGAGTGTTGACCTTATATTTTAGCGTTTGCATGGGGTGTGTCTACTAAACAATGTGAGCGAATTACATGTGGTCATGTGGGGCGCTACCTTATTACTTCCTAGGTTAATGTCTTATTTTATCATAACTAAAGTTAGACAAAATGTTGCAATTACAAAAGGTGTGGCTAGCAAATCACTCGTCATATTTATGACAAAGTTTAACATCAAAATAACTCTAGCATATACACAAATAAGTTTGGTACGCCAATAGTTGTGGAACTGCGCATGAACCACCTTAGTACCGAAACAGTAAAAGAGTAGACCCAACGCAGTAGTAATAAAAAGTTATACAAAAATGACACGATAGTTATATGTCGTCACTGCAATTGTGGCCTCGTGGCTTGTGTGCGCCCTTAGTCTTGACGTATTCTCGTAATGTAACACCCTGCTCTCTTCGGACCAATTGTGATACGCAATTGTAATGGCGCTAAAGGCCACAGCCCAAGGCCAAGGGCCCATTTCGGACGAGATATGCAGAGAGGATACTAGCGCTCGGACATCCGGGCAAAAGCGTATGTCCAAACGCTCACGCCTCCTCCGTCACGTGCGCTCGTGGAAAAGGTTGTGCCTACCACTCCATCCCCCTAACCCCCTCCTCTATCTCTAGGCGGGCGGGACCCAAGAGTCGGCATGAGGGCACGCTCCGTCCGTGTGATCCTAGGTGCACTGCGTGCCATGACCGTGAGCCCACGGCTCGCTACGCCCTATCCCACGGCGCCCAGGCCGTGCCCACATGACTCTCTACCTTTGAAATATGAAGCACTTGGATGCAACATACGACTGAAGCAAATGAAACATTTAGAACATACAATCGCAACATGTGTGTAAAATATATGTAACATCCAGATAAAATATTTGCAAATTGCAACATGAAAACACTTATTGCAACATAAGACTGAAACAGTTTAAACATTTTGAACATACTCTTGCAATGCAGGTGTGAAACATGTGCAACATCCAGATAAAAAATGCTTACAACATACGTCTGAAAACAGATGAAACATTTTGAACACACGCTTGCAACATGCCTCTAAAAACACTTGCAACATGCCTCTAAAACACTTGCAACCTATGCAGCATCCCAATCTACTTTTGCAACATCCATACGAAACACCTACAATGTACCTCTGAAACATCTGAAACACTTGAAACATATATTGCAACATATGGGAGGGAAGGCTGGGGCCGGTTGATCGACCTGAGGCGCGCAACAGCACCACGAGCACAAGCAGAGGCGGGTGACGCGCCCAATGGCGCGGGAGCGAGCAACGCGGGTGGGCGCGCAACGGTTGGGACTGCGGGAGCAAGGAGCGAGAGGCACGAATGGGCATGCGCGACGGGCAGGTGAGCGAAAGCGAACAACAAAAAGGGGGGCGCGTGCGGGGAGATGGCTGCGGCGGCAAATGCTAAGTGGGGCGGACGGACCGGCCGCACAAGGCCGTGAAATGTGGAATGGGTGATCAAGTGGGTAGATTTTTTTGAGAGAGTGAGAGACGTACTTTTGCCTTCTGGCGAGTGTGAGTCCCCCTAGGTAGGGTATAGACTAAAAGATATCTGTCAATGATAGAGCAGTAGATTTCTTTCTTTTAAGAGTTCTCTTGCTTGTACTATAAGTTAACATCTTCATTACTCGATGGATTCTCTCACTCCAAGAGAAGGAGGCAGGCTGGTGGGCCACGCAGGCCCAGGAAGGCGCGCATAATTTTGGTGCACGGCCACGGCCCAAGGCCCAAGGGCCCTAGGCTTGGGATACCCCCTTTTACAATGATTTTGCAAGGAAAAGTTGAAGCTCTACACCAGATGATAAGACTGTGGAACAAGGTCATTGGAACTAGAGGAAAACTTCAAGTAGGCACAGCGAATTGATGAGCAAAAAAGGAAAACATAATCTACAAATGGCCATTGGTGGGATGATCTGCGTGTGCCAGCAAAACATACTATAAGAGGACCTTTTCCTTCTTCACAAGGATTGGAGGATCGATATCGATGCCCATGTTAGCAGCGGTGCCAGCGATGATCCTCATAGCAGAGTCGATGCTCTTGCAGTTCAAGTCCGGTAACTTCTCTTGAGCTATTGCACGCACTTGATCCGCTGTTACTTTTCCCACCTTCGCTCGCTGTGGCTCTTTCGAACCTTTTTCGACACCTATAAGAACCAAGATTCAGACAATAATAATGTAAGGAACCATTGTGTCTCTTTCGAACCATTTTCTGTCCTAAGAACGAGGATTCGTTATCACGAGAACATATAAGGGACCAAATGGAAAAGAGAACATATGCTCTAACATAGAAAGCTGGCTGTCTGACACCAGCATATGCATTTGCAGGTACTGATGCTGCGACATTCATTCTCTGCAGCCCATAGTTCATGGCTATACCTTAATTAACATGCAAACATATATTATGTATTTATGTGTAGTGACTTGTGAGTGAATGTACTTAGAACGGAATAAAATTCCTCTTTCTAGAAGAATCTTATTTATCTAGGCTGAACACCCAAAACAATGAATTGTTGCATGAGTTCATGGGAATTGGAAATGGAAAGCTAGAGTTCAAAGACAGCAAATAAAAAAATACCAAGTTACTGTTACCAACACCCAACACTGAATCATTGAACAAGGGCCGGTTTGGATGCCAAAATTTTTGGCAAAACGCTACTTTAGCGTTTTCGTTGTTATTTGACAATTAGTGTCCAATCATAGTCTAATTAGGCTTAAAAGATTCGTCTCGTGGATTTCGTCTAACTGTGTAATTAGTTTTATTTTTTATTTATATTTAATAATTCATGCATACGTCCAAAGATTCGATGTGACGGAGAATCTTAGAAAATTTGGCATTTTGGGGTGCAACTGAACAGGGCCCAACTGTCGACTGCTCAAACTAAATTGAATTGCAGTTGCATTCGCTGTTATACAAACATGTGAAAAAAACAATGTGGAATGTCTGAACTTTTTTTTTTGAGGGATCAGGAACTGACTGAACTTAATAATATCTAAAAGAGTTACACACCGGATCGCTAATTGCCTAATCCAACGTGGTACACTTGCACAAACCATAAATACCATTCCTTTTCCTTCATGTCGTATTGCTTTTATAGTCTGATAGGGCACGATTGGTTAGCTTCCAAAATATGTCGAACCAAATATTTGGCTAGCCATGATTTTGGCTATTATTTAATTGGCTACCAAAACTTGGCTACTTCTCACATTTAGGGCGTGTTCGGCTGGCTGCCTGGCTGGTGCTGGCCAGCCCACTCACGCGGGCACTGTTCATATAAACAGTGTCTTTCAGCCAGAACAATATTTTTCTCTCACAACAACTCAGCCGGTATTTTGGCTTATTCAACCAGCCAGCTGAACACTCCCTTAGCTCGTCAAATCTATGGCAAATTTTTTACCTAACTTTGGCTTGCCAAATCATTGGCATGGCAAATTTGGCTACAAAATTTGGGCAATTTGATGAATGCACCAGAAAACTCTGAAGAATAGATTCAAGCTAAAGTACAGGGTGTGCACCTGCAGCCTTGAGTAGCAGGACTGAAGCCGGAGGGGTCTTCAAGACGAAGGTAAAGCTCTTATCCTGCAAAATGCGAAGCAAATGAACCAGTATTACGAGAACCATAACTCCACATTAGCAATCGATTCTCAGACAAGCGCCCAAAGTGGGACGGACAGCGTTAGTCTCACTCACATCAAACACGGTGATCTCGACGGGGATGATGTAGCCAGGCTTGTCGGCCGTCTTGGCATTGTACTCCTTGCAGAACGCCATGATGTTGACACCCTTGGCACCAAGCGCCGGGCCGACGGGCGGCGCCGGCGTCGCCTTGCCGGCTTCGAGGGCCAGCTTTATAAGGCCTACCACTGCAGGACAACAAAGGGATTAGGCGCAAGAACGTCATCCCTCATGCGGCAGGAATGCTGACGACGCCGGCCTAGAGAGGGTGCACGGACCTTTCTTGGCCTTGCCTCCCGGCTTGGGCGGCGCCATGGCCCTGACGGCGAGCGTCCGCCGCGAGGAGGGGCCGGCGGCGGGCGCGGGCGCCAGCGGCCGGAGGAAGGACGCGGGGGCGCCGAGGAACGGGGAGGAGAGCTTCCTGGTGGGGGCATGAGAAGGGCGGCCTTGGAGGGATAAGGAAGTGGTGGCCATGGCTGTGTTCATCGCGGCGTGGGGGGGAGCGGGAGATAAGCAGCGCCGCGAAGGAGCAGTGTAGCGGTGAGGTGTTCTTTCTGCTCTGCTGCTTGCTCCCTGCCTCCTATCTAATCCGCAGGAGGGGGCAGGGAACTCCCCTCTTGGATACGCCTTCTCACAAGGGAAACGTCTACCGATTGGTCCCGCTTTATAGAAAGCAGAGAGTTTGCTTGGGAAACCAGCTTACAATCACAGTCTTACAAGTGCTGAAGGCACACCCCTCTAACGCAACACAATTCAGATAGCAGCTAAAAAAAAGGTTCATCAGAGCTTATTTATTAAATCCTTGCATAACAGATTCTACACAATTAGTCTTGGGCGTTTAGCACCAAATGTCTTGATAGCTTTTCCACTGTCTTCAAAATCCAGCCTCTTTCCTTCTCCTTGAGTAGAATGCTCCACTTCTGCAGAAAAATTATTGATCGATGGATCACTACATTAGGGCTCATTATGATTTTGTTGTTAAAGACATAGTCATTGCGAATTAGCCAAAGACTCCAACATATACAAGCTAAGATAAAGAGCATCTTTGAATTAGGAACATCTCCTCTACCACTACTAAGATTTAGTTGCCATGGCTGAAAATACTGTTGGCTGATTTGTTGTGAAAGAAAAATATTGTTCGTTGGCTGAAAAAATACGGCTTATAAGCCAAGCGAACAGGGCGTAGAAATTGTTGAAGGCTTGTAGGTGTTTGTGACCAAGAAAGTGCATCATGATATGTCCACCAACAATAGTTTGCACTATAACACTCAAAAAAGATATGTTGGGATGTCTCTATTTGTCCACACACTTTGCAATGTTCATCTCCAGGCCAATTTCTCTTAACCAGCTATTCTGCCGAGGGGAGGCAGTCTGAGTATATAGACCAGAGGAAAAACTTGATCTTCATTGGAATTCTAGCTCTCCATATACTCATGATTTCCTTGTTTTCACGAGTGAAGCCTTTCTATTGCTTATTTTCCACAGATTTACACAGCAGAGGTCTGGACCTCCTAACTTCAAGGATCACAGTACCGAAGGTGAAAAGATATTATACATAAAGTACAAACAAATGTTGCTCAAATCTCTGTAACAAACATTCCGAAATGAAACAGAACAGCGTAATCCACATTCCCGACATTTACTACTGAAATCTCACCATTGCAGCCCCGAAAGAAAGCAAATCAACAAAGGAAAAACAGCACAGCAACTCAGGCATTCCTCATATTCTATTTTCAATTTTGAAGGAATCCACCACTGTATGCAGCCTATCCTTCATCTTTTCCCATCTTCTCTCGTTTGCTCCAGTAGTCAATGTGAAAAATTTACCTGCAGTATTCCCACTCAATTAGAAAACAGTAGATTGGCAGTGACCAGCTACGCCATTCGTACAGTTTTCCAGTTACAAGGTCGAGAGTACAATATATCACAAATATTAACTACTAATAGAACATCTTACTCGCAGGTGGAAGGTCATACCATTTGCAATTACAATAGCACCAAGTGCATGTCTGGTGTAGTTTGGAGCCTGAGCTGTGAACTCAAAAGTGTAGTAAGCTCTCCCATCAACATCATTCTGCATGACAAAACACATCTTCTAAATTAACAACATAAGTACCAAAATATATCTTTCAGTTAGTCGCTGAATTCTCACTCTTGGTAGTAGGAGAATTCTTACTCTCATCGAGAGATGATGACACTAGGAGTTGGGGCAATTTTTCTTGTCTATTTCTTACTCAAATGCCATACCAACCTGAGGGGTTGGGGTTACATATTTATAGGCTGCTAGCCAGCCAAGCATATGCCAAGATGCTAGTCTAAGATGCTAGTCTAAGATGCTAAGATGCTGTCCTCTAGTCTAAGATGCTGTCCTCTAAGATGCTGTCCTCTAGTCTAAGATGCTGTCCTAAAAACAGAAAAAACAGCCACAAGGACCATGTGAGCAACAACAGCCCCACAACGACCAGCCACACATGACTTATCCATCATTCTCCCCCTAAGTCTTGTGCGTCGTCTTGTGGGAGAGTTGAACCATCCCGGTCCTGGAGCAGAGCTCAAGGAACTTGATCCTCCCAAGAGGCTTGGTGAGCAGGTCCGCAAGCTGGTCCTTGGTGTTGATGTAGTTCGCCTTGATGCTCCCTTCCTCCAAACAGCCTCGGATGAAGTGGTACCTCACCCGGATGTGCTTGCTGCGTTAAGGAACACGGGGTTCTTTACCCGGGGCAGGCGGACTTGTTGTCCACCACAGAGCTCCACCGCTCTAGTGTCTCTGCCGAGGAGATCACCAAGCGGTCGAGCGAGCCAGCGCTGAGTCGAGGCGGTGGAGGCCGCTATGTACTCGGCCTCGCACATTGGGCCACCACCACCCGCTTGACCGATTGCCACCTAACGAGGCACTTGCCGAGGAAGAAGAGGATCCCGCCGTGCTTTCTTTGGTGTCGATGTCGCCGCCAGGTGGTCGCCGTCATTGCATTCGACGAAGTGTGCCGCCCAGACACCTCGGGTAGTAGAGGCCGTGGTCGAGAGTCCCCGCAACGTAGCGGATGATCCTCTTCACGACTGTTGGTGCTCCGTCGTCGTCGGTCATTGCATGAACCGACTAACGTGCCGACGGAGAATGCCAAGTCCGGCCGTGTGTGGGCGAGGTAGCGAAGGCTCCCCACAAGGCGCCGGATTGTAGCGCGTCCACCTCCTCCGTCGTCTTTGTCGCTGCTCGGCGACTTCACCTCTCCTCCATCGGAGTGAGAGCTGGGTTGCGCCGGTGAGCCCAAATAGCTCAACGACGCGCTTAGGCGTGGCGGTCAGTCAAGCGTGATCCGGAGTCATCCCGGTGCACCTCGATTCCCGGTAGAAGGAGAGAAGCCCAGTGTCACTCATCCGGAAGGTGGCCTTCATCTCTTCCTTGAATGCCGCCACCTCCGCATCCTTGGTGCCGGTGATCACCAAGTCGTCAACGTGAGACACCCACCGCCAGGCATTTCCTCCATTGCCCGTCGGGTAGATGGCCGCCTCGTGTGGGCTTTGCTCGAAGCCCATCCCTTTAGCGTGGAATCCAACTTGGCATTCCACGCCCTCGATTCTACGCAGAAGCCATAGAGGGCCTTTGCGCAGCGAGCACCTGCCCTCCTTGCCGGGGATCGCAAATCCGGCCGGTGGTGCACGTAGACCTCCTCCTTCAAGTCGCCGTTAAGGAACGCCGACTTGACGTCCATGTGGTGAACACGCCACCCTCTCCCGGCGCTAAGCGCGAAGGAGTCGCGACGGACTCCATCCGTGCCCACGGAGCAAAAGCGTCATCGGTCGACTTCTCCTGCCGCACGAAAACCTCGTGCCACCAAGCGAGCCTTGTGCTTGACAATGGCGCCGGCTTCATCCTCTTCAACTTGTACACCCACTTAAGGGTGATCGCGCGCGGTGACCACGATGAAGGTCAAGCAGCTCCCGTGCGATTCTTCTCAACCGCATCCATCTCCAATCGCATCGCGGCGCGCCATGCAGCGTGTCTCTCGGCTCTCTGCAAACGACCGAGGCTCGCCGTCGTCACACGCAAGGTGCAACTGCGCCTCCAGGTCGTGAGGCACCGGTCCCGGCACCGGCTGGTCGCCGAGAAGGTTCTCCACCGTACGGTACCGCAACGGCTCACCGTCGTGGTACGCGTCGACGCGCTCCTCGTCGTGAGAGAGCGGAGTAGCGAGCTCAACCGGGCCGTGCTCGACACGAGCCGGTGGTGGAGTAGACGTGCCCACGAGTGGTGCTGCTTGTCTTTGAGTCGTGGCGTTGCTTTACCGTGGTGGAGCCGGCGAAGAAGAGCTCATCGCAACCGAGGTCTGGCCGGAGAGCGTGGTCTTGCTCGAGTAGCGGTGCGCGGGTTCGGTGGAGGCTCGGAGATCGGGGGTAGACGCGCTCGCCAAAGAAGAACCGCCTACTCCCCAGCTCCCCTCGGTGGGCGTATTTTATAGTGAAGTCGCCGACGCCGGAGCCGAGCCGCCGCCCATCGCTTTGTCTTGTCCCACGCCCATCTCGCCGTTTCGTCGAACATAACGTCGCGCGCCGTGCGCACACGCCGTGTCTTCGTCGAGGGATGCGGTAGGCCTCGAGCCCCGCGAGCCGGCGAACACTCCCGAGTGCTCTGCCGTCGAGCTTGCCGATGTGGCCAAGCTCCTTGGCGAATGCGAGGCGCACCAAGACCCGCAGTGGGAGACCGCCGGCTTGCGCCCATGCCAAGCCTCATACGGCGTCCTGCCGCCGAGCGCCTTTGGTAGGCGGCGGTTGAGGATGTAGACGGCCGTCCACCGCCTTCTCCGGAAAGATAGCCGGCATCCCCTCTCGCTTGAGGAGGCCCGAGCCATCCCCACAACCGTCTGGTTGCGCCGCTCGACGACGCTGCTCATGCTGCGCTGTCAGACGGGGCGCGTGGTGGCGCTGAATGCCCTCGTCGGTAGCAGATGACGACGCGAATTCAGCCGCCGTGAATTCGCCGCCGTTGTCGGTCGCGCGAACCTGACGCGGCAAGACTTCGCGCCCGCGCTCCTCGCCTCCGCAGCGAAATGCTGCACGATGGCGCGATGGCGTCCTGACCTCTCTCTTCTTCTGCCGAGGACCATCACCCACATGTAGCGGAGAGAGGTCGTCAACGAGCGGCAGGAAGTAGCGTCGTCCTCCGGTGTGGCCGGTGTCACCGCCACACAAGTCCCGTGCACAAGCTCGAGCCTCTCCTTGGCTCGGCTAGCCCATTGTGGAAAGGGGAGTCGCCTGCTTCCCGTCAACACGCAGACGTCGCAGAGCTGCTCCACATGGTCGAGGCACGGCGGGCCTCGCGACATCTCCGTGGGCACCGAGCCGCCAGGCCCTCAAAATGAAGGTGCCCGAACGCTGCGTTATCATTTGCCACGCCTCGTCGTCCCGGACGAAAATGGTGAGAACAGAGGGTTGTGCCACACGCACGTTAAGGACGAGTCGATTTGTGCTTCGGATACCTTGGCAAGAAGGCGGCGACGACGATCCCAAATCCTCATGACTCCGTCCTCAACCACCACGCTAAACCGTTGCTCTCATCCAAATTGTCCCAAGTCGATGATGGAGTTCCTCAACGCGGGGATGTAGTAGACTCCGGTGAGCGACTGTGCTCACCAGACACCGCGTGGTGAAGATGACGGAGCCGACGCCCTTGATCTCCACGCCGGAGGCATCCCCAAACTTGACGGAGCCTCGGGCGCTAGAGTCAAGCTCGGTGAAGAACTCCGTCGACCACCATGTGATGGGTGGCGCGGTGTCGAGGCACCACCACGTCGGTCTTGTCGCGTGCGAGCCGCTGCGAGGGGCGTGTGCTTTTGGCTCGTCAAGGTGGAGGAGAGCCAGCATGCGGCGGCGGCAGCACCGGAGGTAGCTTCGATCTTGGCATGTGCCATGAACAGAGCTGCTCCTCCTCCTCCGCTTTGTCGACGGCGTGGGCTGGCCGCGTCGTGGTTGCCGACGATCCTTGGCCCAATGGCCAAGCCGGCCGCAGATTCTGGCGGTGTCGTCTCGTCGCTTTGGGCTTAGGCTGCTGCGCCGGCGCGCGCCTGGCGCCTCATGGGCATCACCCTCAGCGCGTCCTCGTGCTCTCCGGCACAAGCGTCTCAAGGCGCCTTGCGCGCTTGCTTGCGCTTGCGGCGTCACTTTGTCATGGGAAGAAGGCTCCCCTTCCTCCGGTCACCTTGGCCGGCAAGCCACTTTGCTCCCGAGTGAGAAGGAGCTTCCCGCCGATGGCGATGGGCCCCGAGGGGATCGTGGCTCATCGGCGTGTCGACGACCTTGAGGCGACCTATCGCCTCCTCGATCGACATCGTGGAGAGATCCAGCGAGACTCGATCGAGCGAGCCATCTCACTGTGCACTTCTCGGGACGCAGCCGGAAGAGCTTTTCGATAGCTCTCTCCTCGCCGTAAGTGTCGTCGCCGAATCGCACCATCTTCCGCAGCAGAGTGTTGAGACGGAGAGCAAAGTCATCAACGTCCTCACCGGCTTGAAGGCGGTGTTCTCCCACTCCTGCGAAGTGCTGCGGTGTGGACTTACGGCGCGCGATCGCTGCCGATGCGTGCGTGCGCAATGATGGCGTCCCAAGCCTCCTTGGCGATCCGCTTCTTTGTAAGCGAGAATCGCATCTCGGCGGGGGCTCGCAGCGCGATGAGCGCATCCAACGTCCGTCGATCTAGGTCGTGGTCGACGCCGCCCGTCTGGACCGCCTCCCACATGTGCGCGCTGGAGCTTTACCTCATCACCGCAGCCCACTCGGCGTAGTTGGTCTTGGTGAGGTAGGCCACCCACCGCCGGGACCGACGTCCCCGACAACGACTGGAGCCCGTGGTAACCACGGTACCGATCCGGGAGAGAGAGCCACGCCGCACTGTGAAGGCCGCGCTCTCCATCGACCCGTCCGCCACCATTGCCGTGCGCGCCTCCTCCAGGAGCGCCGCCGCCGTGCGCGCCTTCTCCAGGAGCGCCACCGGCGCGTCCGCGCCTGTCTGGGCTGCCGCCGCGCTGCGTGGCGTCTTGCGGCTGCCCAAGCACCACCGCCGGCGCGCCTCCTCCAGAAACGCCGCCAGGTAGCGTCGCGCTGTCTGTCTGCCGCCGCCACGCTGTGGCGTCGCGCGCGCGCCCATCGCGCCGCTTTCATCGCCCGCCTTCCTCTCTGCGCAGCTCGAGGTCTGCGTCGGCGGTGTCGTCGGCGAAATGGAGCTGCCGATGCCGCCAGAGCCTCGACCTCGACCTCCGCCGCCGCCGCGCAGCATTCGCCGCCGCCATTCGCCGCCGCCTCGCTCAGGCCTGGCTGCCCGCCTCCACCCTTACCACCTCGGCCTACTTTGCCGCCGCCGCTTGCCACTCTGCCGCCCGCTTCGCTCAAGCGTTCTCTGCTGCAACAAGTTCGGCCTCTCTGACGCCGCGTGCTTTCGAGGCGACCGAAGGCCGAGATCGCCTGCGGACATGACGCTTCTACCGGGGCTGGCTGCGTGGGGAGAGGGCTGCCAGACGAGCCGCTTGCTCGTCTGCTGGGAGTGAACAGAGCGGGGGCTGAGCTTTCGCAGCTGGGCTGTTAGTGGTGGGGAGAGAGAGATGAGCGAGAAATGCTCGAGCTCTGAGGATAATCTGGCTCGATACCACTTGTTAGTCATTGAATTCTCACTCTTGGTAGTAGGAGAATTCTTACTCTCATCGAGAGAGATGACACTAGGAGTTGGGGCAATTTTTCTTGTCTATTTCTTACTCAAATGCCATACCAACTTTGAGGGGTTGGGGTTACATATTATATAGGTCGCTAGCCAATGAAGCATATGCCAAGATGCTAGTCTAAGATGCTAGTCTAAGATGCTAATATGTTGTCCTAGCTAAGATCTTTCAGTCCTCTAGTCTAAGATCTTTGTCCTCTAAGATGTCTGTCCTCTAGTCTAAGATGCTGTCCTAAAAACAGAAAAAACAGCCACAAGGACCATGTGAGCAACAACAGCCCCACAACGACCAGCCACACATGACTTATCCATCACTTTCAAGAACAGAATAGCATGGTCAATGTGAAGAACATGATGTTCCACAAATAACAAATTGATTCTAATACAGATGGGAGAAGTACTAGCTAGTTTACGGTGGCACCGATATGTTTTATCTGTCATATTGTCACCTGTACTTTCAAGTTGGTAACAGACTACCAAATCTTTTATTAGCTCAGCATACCAATTGAAACATGGAAACCAGGCAACAAATTTCAATAAATGCTGTAGGTGTAAACCATTCATTAGTACATATGTTATTTTCAGAGAGTAGCTGTTCAGCTTAATGCTCGACCTAATAATAGAATGAACTCAGAAAGATTCGCCAATCAGCACCAACTAAGTTCATTCAGTCTTTTATAATGCTGTCCATATAAAACCAATTAGCATGCCTGAATGATTTTTTTTAAAGAACCATGATATGTCATAAATCATCATTCCCCAATCCTCAAAGATTTGACATGCACTGGTGCCCATGCATATTAACAGGAATAGTTAGATGAAGCACAGCAAATTGGAAGGAAGGCACACCTCTTTCGCCTCAATTAACTTTGTCTTTTGTGTTGGTGGCGCCAAAACTTTTTTTATCAAAGCCTCGGCAACCTGGAAAATAGCAGTTAATAAATCGAAATTGGACCCTTTCCACTACATAACTACGGACTATCCCAGTTTATTTATGGATTAAGGAAAAGATAATAGCAAACCTTATCCGGAGGACCAAGATCACGAATATCCTCCTTGCTAGTGGGAATAGAGTTCACGCTCACACTCTCCAGAGGCTCTATCACATCTTTGTACACCTTGTCTTGCCCTTGCACAGCCACTTCCTGGATAGGATAATGTGATTAGCCTCACACACATCATGATAAAATACATCGTGCAGCCAAAAAAAACTAAGCCAAATTGTGTTTCTTTCTCTTCAATCAATCAAGGACAATAATTAATACAAGAAGTGTTTGTCACCTCCCATCCGAACGGGTAGAGGAAGGAGTAACCAGCCTTCTTGTCGACGACAGGCAGGAACCCTTTCTTAGCCTCTGCTGCGACTATACCAGATCAGAATCGCACTCAGAGGCGCAGTTTTGATCAAATAAACCATTCACAGTGCAAGCTCGTCTCCCACTGAGCGGCCAGTGTACATCAATCAAAGCACGCAACGCTGCAGAAGGCGAAGCAGTCTAAGGCGATAGTGAAATAAATTCGAAGAAGCAACTCACATGCCGCCGGATTAGGCCGGGAGAGGAACGCGGCGGCACCGGCCACAAGCACCCGCCGCCGTCCGGAGCTAGCCGCCGCCTCTGCGTCAGGCAGGTCACACAGCAACGTCGGTAAAGCGAGACACCATAAAGGTATGGGGGCAGGGAGGGAGACGCAATCCTGCTCAGGAGAAGCGGCGGTGGGGGTACCAACCGTTGTCGAGCTGCCGCGGCGGCGCGGGGCCGCAGGCGGCGGCGACGGGCGCGACGGCGCAATGCCGCTTGCGCAGCGACGGGGCTCCGGCCCCAAGGCGGCGCGCGGCGGCCGCGGGAGAGGACGACGGCGCACGGAGGGAGGCGGCGGGCACGGCCGTGGCCATGAGAGGCGTCGTGGCGTCGACGAGGAGAGTGGGGCGGGGGGGTAGCGAAAGCGAAGCGACGAAAAGCAGCTTGCGGACTCCGTGCGCCGAGTAGGATTTCGCTCCCTTTCTGGTCCACACGACTCGTGACGACGAGCCGGAGCCGAGCCATGCGCGAGTTGGGCCTGGACAGCGGCGCGGGGCCCTGATCGTCTCCGCCTGGTCCAGCAGCCACCCCGGCCTGGCCCAGTACGGGAGGCGGGACCGGAGAAACCCATTTTTTGGAGAGAAAAAATCAGCTCGTTTTCTGTTTTCTATTTTCTTTTTCTCTCGGTTTCTTGTATTTCTTATGAGTACTTTATTTATACTCACAAACATACCTGTACGTTGCAACTGGAGAATAATCTATGAGAGAATTATCTACTTGGCACTGAAACAAATCGCTCTTTCATAAGGCATTAGAAATTTTGAACTTTCTTATCTGGTATCGAGTTGAAATTTTATTCCATAAACGGCACTACCGTCCACTTGAACTAGCAACGGTGCAAGTGGCTGACGAAATGACATGAATATCCTTGTTTGTAGCAGAAGTCTACGGTGCCAAATACAGAAAAGATAAATAGACAGTTTATCAAATAAGAAAATCATAAATATCACAAACATACTTGTTCACTAAAACGTGGGATTTTGGTAATAGAAGATTGCAAATAAATAATCAATAAATTTAAAATTCTAAGGTAACAACAGTTACACGTTAGTTTCATGCACATATTTTTGGTGATGTGAAAATTAATTATCTTCGTGGAATAAATAAAAAAGTTTATAATCTTATAGAAGGCCGAGGCACAAGAATTTTTGTGTTTTCGATCTCTCGGTCTTGCATGTTTTTTATTTTTTTTGAGACGGTATATTGGAACCCATTCTTTTTTCCTTTTTTGAGACTGTACACATTAGGAAATAAATCACGTAGGAATTTTTTACGGATCAGGCGAGACTAATTTTCTTCCAAAAGCTAAAAATCTAAAAGGCAGCACGTAACCTCTCATCATCGTTAAAAAACAAATGAAAATGAGAGAGCCACGTGCTGAGTCCGTCGGTGCAGAAGAGAAAAAACATTCAAAATATTCAAGCTTTTATCTGATGGGAATGCCGAACGATATCCATTCTTGATCTCGCCGCAGCAGGACTGCCGTGCGCCTGTGCTGTGTTCATGCTAAGTTGCCACCGGCGCACTGGACCGGAGACTGCACGACTGGGACCGGCGACGCTGCCCCCGGGCGAGGCCTCCCACGGGCCACATGCATCTGCGCGCGCAGAGCCATAGGGCCCGTTGGGGAGGCACCAGCGCGATCTTCCCATGCCCATAATCATAGTCCGCGCACGAAGGCTTGTCGACATACCCAAGTGTTGGCCGCAACACAACACATCATCCGTTACAACATTTCATAAGTAGCCTTGGCATCCATGGGTTCAAATAAAATATTACAAACCAAGCTTAATGGGCGTTTAAGCTACTAACGCTTCGTTTCAAATACATTGCGGATCTGTCATGTCCCACAAAAGCATTATCAGTCGAGAACTGTAGAGCCGCCGCCAACGCCTAGTCTTCATCCCCAGTGGAGAAGGCAATACTTGCAACCGAACCGGTCATCTGCCAGCATGGATCCACGAGCGCCAGACTTACGACACCAAGGATCATGCAAGGCTTTTCGGGTGGGCTAGCTTGACGCTTGCCCACTTATCATTATTTACCCCGCACTAAATTAGCTTCTCTCGCTTATTAGGAGCAAACCATAGCGGTATATTAAGGCACGCCTCATATCATCTTTCGACCTACATTGGAGATAAGCCCATCAAGTTCTCACTAATGGGGTGAGCTTGGCATGACTGTGGGCGCCTCGGTTCGGGGACCCGCCCGTGAGTTCTTGCCCTTGGCACCCTCTGGCGGGCGCACTTTATACTTATCGACTCCCGGCTCCTTTGCCCCATCCTCATCTCCTCCGGCCTCCATTCTCTCTTTTCCATGGTTTCGTTTCTCTTGTTTTCGAAGAGAAGAGCGATGGAGAGAAGCGAGACTCGAGGGAGAAGGGAGGTGGAGTCATGGACGCCTTGCAGACCCACTTTAAGAGGACCTCAACGCCTAAGATGAAGATTCTCACAAAAATAAACATGGGCATTTTGGTACTTCTAATGAAAAGCTGACATGGTCTTCCTAGTCAACTAACGAAGGGATGCCTGAAATGGATGGCAGTGCCATTTATGTAATGAATTTTTAAGTTTGTGTTAGATAAGAAAGTTCAAATTTTTCAGTGCCTCATATGGAAGAGTGATTTGTTTCAGTGCCAAATAAAAAATTCTCCCATAATCTATTGCGTTGCCGGTGGCACAAGCAGAGATAGTTTTCACACCCACCGAGTTACAAATAAGAAGTTGTTAAAAGTCTTCTCCAACTAACTTTCCGTATTCAGTAGCAAATTGTTTCTTCCTCTCTCCGGGTTTTTTCGTCATGTGTGCCACTTTCTTTGTCCTAGCTCCTTATATCGATTCAGGTCAAGCGTGGCCACTATCAACCTACCACCAGCTATTGACTGGCGACATGAGTCCGCACCATTTAGGGTTAGGGTGGGGATTGCAATTGCACCTAGCCGGCACTTTCTTCCCCACGGAGAGGCCCGTGTCCCCGGCTCACCCACCCAGCGACCTCCGGTACAGAATGGTTAGATGGGGTAGGATTAGAGACACTACTGGCGCCAATGCGAGCAAAGGGGCAACTGCCGGCTTAGGATCGGCAGCTCGTGCTCCATGGCCGGATCTTTTGGCGACCCTCCAATTACCCGGACCAAGTTTAAGCTGTCATCATTGGCTTACATTCAACTTAATCGTCTTTAGACGTGAGTTGTTCTAACTCGTATAAGCATGACTCATGAGTCCGCATCATATACACAACACAATACATCTTGGAATCGAACTCCGTATCATGCTAGATGTGAGCTGTTCTAACTCGCATGAGCATGGGTTATATAAGTCCGGATGAAAGAAGCTACGTTATCGGGTAGTTAGGGGAAGGTGGCCCCAAAAAAGAGGTTGAAATTTTGGTTCTTTAATATACATGTAATTAGGTATAGGTAAATTGGGAAAATTAATTATATAAAAGCATAGACCTATAGATACAACAAAATCTTTATACTAAAGCATATGATATTATATGTTTACTGTGTAGCCCTAGTCAAAGCGAGTGTAAAAAAACTGATTTGATATTTTTTATTTTTCTGTAATTTTGTATGATTTTTAGAATTATCAATTGGTTTAAAAGAAAAGAAAAGAAAAAGAAAGGAAAAAGGGCTACTGTGCGGCTAAGCCATGGGCTTTGGCCCAAACTGCGTAGCCAGCCCAGCCTGGGGCCGAATCCGAGACCCACCACAACAGGCCTAAGCGAAAAAAAAAAAAAAAGAAAAAGAAAGTTTTGTAGTAGGAACCCTAAATTTGTTTCTAAAACTGTTAAGCCCTTTCACTATTTCTTTGTCTCTGGTATCTTTGCATCTGGAACCCTTTATTTATTTCTAATTCCTCCTTCAACTCTTTCTCGTTCTTTGGTCGCCAAAATCAGACTACGGTCTTTCGGGCGGAGGGGGGAGGCGATGATGAGACCGAGGCGGATTAGTAGGTTGGACGAAAAAATTTTTGGTGGCAGAAATTTTGGCTCTTTAGTATTGGGTATAGATATAGATTTATTCTATCTATACATATCTCGTAGTATCTATGTCAGTGGTTATTCATGCAAATCAAAATTTCCAAAATGCACCCTGATTGTTTCTGAATAAATGATATACCTCAATGAAATAATGCTCTATCGCCCTTCCAAGAAACATGCTCTAGCTTAAATAAAAAATACCCAGACTTGAACAAAAGTACTTTTTTTGTAAACATAAGTGATTTTGTTCAGAAAATGTAAGTTCTGATAAAATTATTTTGGCTTTTTGAGAAAATGTTATAGTTTCAAGAGAAAATGTTTTGTCTTTATGAGGAAATCATTCTAGCTTCATAGCAAAAAGTTTCTAGCTTTGCAGGAACAATGTTTCAATAAATAAAAATATTTGGCATTATATTCAAAATATCCATGCTATGTTGTAGAAATAATCAAAGTTCCCCTATGTTTCCATTAGTAAACATATATAATTTTTTTTTGCAGAGAATCAAATTATGTTGTGCGAACAAGTTGTCGTTCTTGTCGCAGAAGTTGAAGTAAAAATAGCTACAAAATATTTTTTTTTTGCGAGGAAGCTATAAAATATACTATAAACAGCAAAGAAAATGATGAAATATAATAAATTTACAATATAAAGAGGCTTAAAAATGAGAAAAGAGAGGATATAAATGCAGTTGAAACAAATAAACATACATTACCTAGCTTGAAACTACATTACCTATGTAAAAAAACACTCATAGCCCATACAAATTAATAGATATAAGGGTGCAGACGAAGAGAATAGCCTGTGAAAACGTTGACCACATCAGCCAGCCACAGCCACAACCAAAGAGGCTGCAGCGACAAGCAGGCAGGTTGTCTTCCCGGAAGGCCACAACGATTCCTATAAATTAACTACAAAAAAATGTGGTACATGGGCTGTACTGCCAAGAGCCTAAAAGCCCAACAAAAAAGGTCAAACCAGCCCACATGGCCATCTGACACTAGTACAATTTCACAGAGAAGAGAAAAAAAAAACCCCCCTTCTCTGCTCGCGTGTTTGGATTGACGACTGGGAAACTTGCCTCATCGTTCCTAGACGTCCGATTTTGGACGCCAGGGTCCGATGCGGTGCCTGGCCGACGTGCCTGGTACCAGGGTCCTATCCAAACACGCTGTTGAATTCTTGTATAAGCGAAGGGCTATGCTTGACCAAGTGGCTGAAGGGCGACGGTTGGCCGTTAGCTGGCCATTTGGGATTAGCTGGTGCTTAGCGGATGTAACGGCTTAGTGACGTTAGTGATGTAATTGTTACGTATGGCTGGTGACCGAAGGGGTATAAAGACCGTTTATGTGCTGAACAGAAAACTGAATTTTGATAACTGAATCCATTCTCGCTATCTGTTCTTCTTCTCTGAACCCATTCTCCATTGCTGCTACTGCTACTCTAGTGAAAGGAAGACAGTGACAGTTGGCCCATTCCCCTCCAACTCGGCCCATTAACCACAGAAACAAGGTACTACAGGTTGTACTATCAGGAGCCTAGAAGCAATTTTACAGACCCCGCCGTGAATTCTTGTACTCCTAGGAGAATAAGCAAAGCCGAGTTGGAGGGGAAGCTGATGAGGGGTACAGACAGTTATTGATTGATTCGGCAAGTTCAATTCTAACGAACAAACTTCTAGAGTAGAGGTGTTGCGTATACATACTACTACATGCACGGGATGCGCAAAACCGAAAAGCTAAATGAAAGAGAAGCGTCTACTCTGTTGCTGTTCCTCCTCTGCTACTACCGTGTACGCAGGTGCTGCTAGGTCCTGAAGAGCTCGAGGCAGTGCTCCTGGTCCAGGTTCCTGCTCCAGAACTTGGCGTAGTACTCGGCGTAGGTGTAGTCCCTGTAGACGGCCGGCGTGTCGCCGGTGACGAGCTTGGCGGCGGGGCCGATGCGCACGTCGTTGCAGGGGCAGAGGAACGACGCCACCGACATCCTGGGCCTGTCGGAGTTGACGACGGCGCGGTGCCACACGCTCTTGTACCTGCCGTTGCTCAGCGCCTGCAGGATAGATAGACAGAGAGAGAGAGAGAGAGAGGACACGGGTTCAGTAGTTGAGCTGCTGCCACGTGTACTACACTGCTACTAGGTGGGTGGCAGACGATCGATCGAGCAGTTGATCTGGTCACTACCTGCAGCTGGTCCCCGATGTTGACGACGAGCGCGCAGGGCCGCGGGTTGACGGCGATCCAGCGGCCGTCCTTGAGCACCTGCAGGCCGGCCACCTGCTGGTCCATGAGCAGGATGGTGAGCGCGTTGGGGTCCGTGTGCGCGGGGAGCCCGTACGTGAGCTCCGGCGCCGGGCAGCGCGGGTAGAAGTTCACCGCCATGTGCTGCTCCTGCTCGCCCAGCGTCTCCTTGATGTAGCCTCCGTCCAGGCCCAGGCCCTCGGAGATGGCGCCGTACAGCCTGAACCCCAGCTCCCGGACCTCCCTGCAGTACGCGCTCACCGTCTCCCTGTACGTGCGTGGACGTTGCCAGCGCCGGCCGGCCACCAGACAACAAACAAACTGTTACTGTACGCATGCGATCATTTTCTTTCATGTGACTGGGGACAAGATCACACGTGCTATTCTATTTGCGTTGTGTGGCTCTCATCGCGTTGTGACACTATAGCAATATCGTCGTGGAGCCTCAAAATCACGGATTCACTTACTATTGAGTCGGAGCCTAACAAAGTGGAACTAAGGGTTTTGTTTGTTTGGCACAACTTCTTATGGCTCCAATTCTTCCGGATCTCTCAAATACGAAATACACCAGGAGCACGATGAGGCTATCGTTTTATGGCTCCTCCGATCCAACTCTGGCTCTTCAGTTCGCTTTGTTCACTTGAACTTATCAGCCTGGCTTATCAACCATGGTACAGTGATTTTCTCTCACAACAAATCAGTTTCAGACGGCTTATCAGCCGTAGAAACCATCAGCCGAACAGCTTAATCTAGCACGAAGATAGAGCCAAAGTCCGAGAGAGCTGTGCCATGCCAAACAGACCCGGCCCTAAACTTGCTCTTAAGAAAACAGAGAAGGCAGTGGGGTGGCCTCTCTCACTGTCGTCTCAAATACACTCCACCATCACCGTCCATGCCACCAGCTGTGCTGTTCGTCAGGTGCGATCGCTGCATGGACAACGCTACTAGCTACTTGCAGTCAGCAAAGGTGCAAAGCTAGGCAAGTTGAGTGGAGGAGCAGCGGGCAAGTGGCGTCTCAGATGGATGCATGGACCACTGCCATTCCTAATACTGCAACTCTATATAGGAGTAGTAGTTCCGTTTCCTTGGAGGCTCGGCCGTGTTATCTTTTCTGACGGCAGGGAGGTCTGCCTGTCCTAGAAACGGCTTTAAAACTGGCCGCCAGCACATGGTATGGTAGAGCCGTCCAAGGTACACGGTGTACGGTGATGGTGATTAGTCACTTTCGAATTCCCCCTCCCTTGAAGCACCGTCCAGCGCTTCAGTGATGGGTCTCGTGATGAAAGCAAGGAGGAGACAAAAACGATTCCTGTCTGTCTGCAGTTAACAAAAAGACTGAAAGAGTGAAGGACAAGCACAGTCCGGCCCTACGCTTGTCATCTAGGCGCCTTGGAGTTACTCACTCAAACCCCCTATATCTAAAAAAGATACCATTCTCAGTTTTTCGAATACTCAAATAGTTTCCAATTCAATTAAATTTACAAAAAGTAATGGTATTTATAATTAGAGGATATCAAATGAGATCATTAGATTGATTGTTAAATATATTTTCATAGCATATTTATTTGGAGCCATAAGCGTCAATAATATTTTCTATAGACTTTAAGTTAAGTAAGCTGGATTCAACCTAAACCTAAAATTTCATCTTTTTTGGGAGGGTTGGGGGTAGTATTGATTTGCAGTTCCATGTCTGATGTCTCTGAACTTGTACGTTGAGGGTATTACTCGAGATCTAAACATTCTTAATCAACGTTTAATCGCCGATACAAGCAACACGCTGGTCACGTGGTAGATTATTAAATATTGTATCCGTAAGTTAGCAAGAGGATCAGCATAGTGAGGGAGGCAGACCATCTCGGTGGAAGCCGGAGACAATAGCTGCATTATATTTAATTTGATGCAAGCTCGGCAACGATGGCTCACGAATCACCGATGTTAATGTAAGTTCTTGGTTTCTCTTTTGAGTGTAGATTTTTTACTGGTTTGTTTTAACACAAACAGAATTGTGCACTCTGATGTCTAGCGATGCCAGTGTAACACCACTTGGCTGCTGCTGCTGATGTGTCATGATCCACCTTACTGGTTCTTGAGGAGTGCATAGCTTTTTCCCCATTACATGGTGGTGTTCCTCTAGTTGCGGGTATTTTTTTTTGAAAACTTAGCGGGACCTCTGCCTCTCAATTAAGGGAAGATAGAGGTTTATGTACAGAAAGCCCGAAGGCCTAAAACACCCCAGAGGGCACAGCCTCAGGTACAGAAGAAGAACGATCTCCTCTCCCCTTAGTGAAAAAACAGAGGGGGGCTAAGTTATGCTGCTAAAGACCCGTGATCCAAAGTCAATGTCTTCTTTGGTTTTGGAGACCTCCAGTCTTGCTGAACATGGCAGTGTTTTGAACCTTCTGTTTCTTTCTTTCCAGATGTTCCACATCGTGTAAATCACCACTCCGTTGAAGTGTTCTAGCTGCGGGTATTGCCGGTTTCTCGTTAGTCGTTTTTCGGATGCATTTTTTCCTTAAAAGAAAGCTGTGCTATTCCTTTTTAGTTTAATTAAATAATAAAATTATAGCAAAGCTACTCTTTTGGTCCTTAATCTGGTCTAGTCCATCTAGGAGATAAAAAAGAGTCAAGGGGTGGTCATCTGTCTCTCCACTCTTATTTTTATGGATTTGTTAGGGTCCGTCGTCGTCTTCCCGTCTCACCGGATTGGATGAGCAGCGGTCAGCGGAGCAGAGCAAGAATACAACACAAGCAACAAATGGGTAGGTACTGGAGCAGAGTACTGAGTTCTGATATGATGCTGGGTAGGAGGCAGGAAGGCAGGTAGTGGTACCTGAATGATGGCGGGTTGTCCGGCCAGTCGGGGACGTATTGCTCCAGCGGGTGGCAGTGCAGGCGGAGGTAGTCCCGCCAGTTGTGCACCGTCTCCTTGCGCACGTTGAAGCTGGTGGACAGCCGCATCTTCTTGCCCGGGTCGTCGGAGTAGAGCTTCGCCTTCTCCTCCGCGGGGAGCCGGAAGAACTCGTACGCCACGGACATCATCGCCACCGTCAGCTCCTCCGGCACCCCGTGGTTCAGCACCTGGGCGGTGGCCGACAACAGGATCGGAATTATTTATTTATGCTCACCCAATCAGTACGATCGAGCACACGGCCAGCGGCGAGCCGACGACCGAGACTACCAAGCCGTACCTACTACCCACCTGGAAGAAGCCGTGCGTGCGGCACGCCTCGGCGACCCTGACGACGACGGCGGCGCGGTCGGGGTCGGCAAGGTCGACCACGGGGATCTCCGCGTCGGGGACGACCTCGCGCAGGCGCGGCCGCTGCGTCTCTGGGCGGACGTAGCTGTCCGGCAGCCTGTCGTGGTCGGCCGTGGAGATGAGCTGCTCCGCCATGCCCGCTAGCTGCTCTAGATCACTCTAGCTCCCTCCCGCTCCCGCTCCCGGCGTCTGCTCTGGCTCAGCTACGCCGCGTGCTCCATGCTCATGTCCAAATAAATAGGCACGCAACGTGATCGATCGACGACGAGATGAGCAGCTACCAGCTAGCAGAGCCGCAGCGGCACAATTTTTGTCGCCAGCCTCCGATCGAGATGACATGCGGGGCCGGCGAGACCTCGAGATCCGTGCTCCGCTCGTCTCCCAGTTGACCGGGTTGAGGCCGCTGAGCGATCGTCAGCGACACGGCGCAGGGCAACGTCAGGGCACTGACGGCAGCAGCGGGGTTTGGACGGGTTCTTTGTCACTGTGCGTCGCGTGATGTGAGCGGCCGCCTACAGCTGCAGCGTTCGCCGCGTGCCGAGCTGAAGCTACCTGCCAAGCTGCCGAGCATGGCGGATCACCACCCAGCGAGCGTGAGGGCGTGCGATTCAGGCAGGCGTTGGCGTGGCAGGAACTCGTGCACAGTTGAGGGAACCCAGCGTGTCGTCTACTCTTATCACGGTCACGGACTCACGGTAGCATATTATATAGCCATATAGGAGAGTACTCAGTCAGTACAGAAACGGCCTGAAGCTTTGTGACTGCTGGGTTGTTGCAAAGGTTCAGTTGGACGGCACACTGTTCTCTTCGCCGGTTTTCGTTCCCGTGAATGATCTGTGGGATTTCAGTGTACTAACGGATCGACAAAGAGTCAGAGACGTACAAAAATGTCAATACAAAAATGACAAGCGTGGGATGCTTCGTTGTGGTCCTTCTTTTTCCTCCTATAATAATAGTCCTAGTAACATAGTTTGTTCACGCTGAAAGGCAGGGGACATGTACATGTCCACTTCCCATACATATTATGCTACCAAAATTTTTCCTACTCTAGTTACTCCCACGTAGTGTGGGTTCTCTTCTCTGCACATGAGATGGGCGTCAGGTTGATTAACGGATTACATGAGTGGACCCGTTAAGAAAATAAATCGGTCCTAATTTTTAGCTATTGCTGTTGGATCCCACCGATACAGCTCATTTATTTATGGCGTCTACGTTTGGCGAAGAGACGGAGGCCAGCCCGTGCAAGGCGTGCTGGCGATGGCGGCCCAACCGGGCGGCAGCACCGCTGACCACCCACTCCACGGCGGAGCCCGTCTGGATCTAAACCGTTTCCACATCAGCGACAACATCTTCGACGTCGGAGCGCCGCCATGCTCATTCGCGCCCCACCTCCGATGGCGGCGGTGGCGGGCTCCCAACACCACCGATATTGTCATATATGCACGTATATATACTTGGTCCATTGGTATAAGGACATATACTCATTAATAAGTATGAACGCATACTCCCTAGCATGTATCCACATATACTATACTTGTTTTAGGGTATATGGACATACTCTAATTTTAAAAGTATGAACGCATACTATCGTATGTACATATACTTGCCAAGAATGGTTTACACTATCTTTATACACAATAAACAACATTTTTTGTGGCATGTAGCCATCACCCGAGATTTAGGAGATTAGCTCCCGTGCATGTATGCATGCAGTTTTGAAAAGGTGCGACCGTGGGATGTGGGAGGCTGTAGCGCCTGACTAATGGATCCGGTGGCTGCATTGAAACCCGATTAGAAGAGGGAGTAATTACTCCTCGAGATATATATATATATATATATATATATATATATATATATATACACACACACTACTCTGCAGCTGGCTACAAAATAACTTATTCTGTAGCCACTTTGAGTTACGATAATTACTATGTTAATTTACGAGATTACAGTAACTCCTTACTAAGTGGTTTACTATAACGTTATGGTAAATATCCCCATGTGTTATAGTAAACCACTTAGTAAGGAGTTATTGTAATCTCGTAAATTAATATATTAATTATCGTAACTCAAAGTGGCTACAAAATAACTTATTTTTGTAGCTGGCTACTGAATATACTCTCCCTATATATATATATATATATATATATATATATATATATATATTATAGACTATCATTTGAAAATCTTATCAAAGCTATGATCACAAAATATACACACAATCATTACATTTATATCACTAGTCTATCAATAAAAACTTCAATGCAACGAAATTAGGTGGAGCCTGGCCACCTCCAATCTGGGCCTTCAGATTAGCTTGAGTGCTCACATTTAGTCCAATTATTATCTTTTTCAGTATGATGTGTCTGTTAATATCGAGATGTCTTTAGTGACTTAGTGATTATTTGGCAGGGCTCCATCTCATCCCAAAACAACTCTTTGGCTCCTTAAGAGAAATAACTTCTCTGGTGCTGGTGGAGATGGAACTCTTTTAGAAAATGTTTAATAGGACGACTTCTTCTGTATCTTCTGGAATGAGACGAAGGTAGGTGTATAATGTTCAATATGTCCTACTACTTTGCACCACGTTTATATAATATCTAGGATGTCCCGAGTAAAACAGGAAAAAAACCCAATGTTCTAATTTTAAAGTAGTGATTGTTTTCTTCAAAATTCAAAACATATTCATGTTTGGTCCTCTTGTGTTGCATTAACTGTAAATAACATCATAGTCAAAATGTTTGAGAATCGGGTACATATTTGAGAATTAAAGTGCTTTGAAAATCTCAAAAACTGTGCCGCGTGAAGCAGAGAAATGAATAGAGCCTGGAAGCCACAGTTTCTGGTTCCTTGCACACAGTTCATTTTTTCCCCAGCGGCTATGCTAGCTCCCTGGCCAGAGCTATTTCGTTCGTCTGACAGAGTTGGAGCAAAAGCTCTTCTATGAGCTCTGCCAAAGAGACTCTTAGGCCCCGTTTGCTTATCTTATCATCTGTATTTATTGGTTTGTCTTTTTAGTCGGAATAGTATTTTTCTCTCACAACAAATCAGCCGGAACAGTGTTTCAGTTTGTTTTTTCAGCGAAGCGAATAGGGCCTAGTCAACAAGTCATAGTCATGTAAGATAGATATAGTAGATCACCTAGACATAGATCTAGTGAGTACAATCTTACATACGGGATAAAACTTCCTAGAACATGATCTAGAGAGAGAAAGAGAGAGAGAGAGAGAGAAGGGAGGTGAGATGTCACCGACCATCCACGGGTTTGGAGGAAGAGCTTGACATAGCCATGGCGAGAGTGATGCGGTCTGGGTCAACAAGTCATAGTCATGTAAGATAGATATAGTGGATCACCTAGACATAGATCTAGTGGGTACAATCTTACATACGGGATAAAACTTCCTAGAACATGATCTAGAGAGAGAAAGAGAGAGAGAGAGGAAGGGAGGTGAGATGTCACCGACCATCCGCGGGTTTGGAGGAAGAGCTCGACATAGCCATGGCGAGAGTGATGCGGTCTGGGTCAGTGGTGTCGCGGTGACGGTGTTGAGGTCAGTCGCAGTGCAGTGGTGGCGCAGAGGACGGCAGTGGAGCTTTCCGTCGCTGGCTGCGCCCCTCACTAGATCGGATTGGGTTTGTCGGTGGATGTGGCGGCTCACGGTGAACCTCTGAGAGCCACTGGCTCTCACCTCTCTTTATAGCGCAGTGCGACGGAGGCCCACCAACCATGTAGGGTTGGGCGCCCCCGATCAGGGCGCGAGGTCAAGGCCCAACTCGGCCGTTGGACCGAGCTAGAGAGATCAACACTAACAATGTACAACTCATATATATCTAATAGGTACTATGGTTCACCAGCATATACACTACCGTTCTCCGACCTAGCCTTGATCAATTGTTGGGACTTGGGAAGAGTCTTTGGTGAATCCCCACTCGTGATGGTAATAATAATAACAACATAGGTATTAGGTAGTGGCAATACCAAGAAACCATTATAAATCCAGTTCTGAATTTTCTCTCTTAATTTCTTTCCTTTTCTAAATATTGAGTGAAGCTCTACCTCTTTTAATTTCATTAATAGAAGAAGAGAGAAATACAAGCAACAACAACAAAGAACAGTGAGAAACACCGGAACAGGCAAACAACCAACAGAAAACTACACACCAACACCTATGACGGCGATTCACGTTGAATGACATATAAGGTAATAACACCTATGACGGCGATTCGCGTTGAATGCCATGTAAGGTAAGAAGAAACCGAGTTCCTTGTACTGTTGTACACCAATTCACTTTAGTCGAGCCAATAGTCAAAAGTCGCATGGTTGCTCAAAATTATCAATCCTTTGGACATAGGCATACACCAACTAGTCACCAGCTTTGTTGATTGTCTAAGCCACCAGATCAATTTATTGTCGTTGAATTTTCATCTGCTTTGTGGAAGCCGTCAGCTCGTCATGGATAGTTTTCTTGTGTTAAGGTGGCTGCGGTTCTGCTGGTTTGAATTCAAATCACATTACCTGCTGGCTGGAACCTTCCTTCGTCCCTAACCATAGTGCTCAGGTTGGCTGCATATTTGACCGTCTGGATGAAGCAGGAAATGTGTTGCCTTCAGTGTTCAGTAGTACTGACATATATCTCCAGGAATTAACCAACGTTAGCAACTTAATAAGGCCCAAACAATGCGTCATTATACTATTGATGAATTCAGATACTACATCAACTAACTGAAGTTATTTATGCTAAGGTTTACCAGCTGAATTGTCCAAATCCTTGGGGAAAATGACGGAGCTTAAGGCAGTGGGAAAGCGCAGCTTTTGCTGAATGGATCAATGAACTTTGAATGTTCTTGCTTTTGCTCTAGCAGGTGTCATTTTCCTCTAGAGCCGGCAACAAAGATCACCGTAGAATAAATATTAGCGGACAAGAAACAACCTGCATCGATCAAAGTTGATTTTTTAATAAAAAGATCACTTGAAATGCACACGAAGGCTTTTTTTTAACACAATGGCAGGAGTGTTAAAAGGGCTAGCATAGAAGAATTAGACCTCTTAGTTAAGATTGTAAAGACGTGAAAATCGTATGGCAAAATTGCAGATTTTAACAACTAGTACTTTGGAGAGCTACTGTTTGTCGTTC